TATATATATATAAAGAATTAATAAATTTAAAAAATTAAATTATTAGCGAAATTTAGTTTTTGATTTGATTGAAAATTTATTTTCATTCTTATTTAACAAATATGTTAAACTTTCTGCACTAACTTTATAATTATGTAAGAAAATTTCTTTTAAATTATGAAAAGAGCAGTGACACGTTCGTTTAACATGTCTATGACTGACTTTTATTCTTATTAACATTTAAATCTTAATTTTTTTTATCAAATAATATCAATTTTCAATGATTCAATTGACCGGCATTCTTTGTGTTTCTGAGTTTAGAAACATGGTACAGAAATTATAAGAATCGTCTATTTAAAATTTAAATGGATAAAAAAACTAAAACAGCAACGAGATGATTCATCTTGCTCAGTCACTATATTGCGAGAATTTTATTGCGAAGTTAGAAATATATTAACATATGAATTACCTGTATGTGATAATATTGACTGGCTGCCATCTTGCTGATTATCTGAAAAAGCATTTTTAATACATATTTTATTTAAAAAAAAATTAAGAACTTTAAAAAGTCATCGATTATTATCAATATCATTTTAGGAGGCAAATACTTTATTTTATGTTCATTATATAAATGTTTTGAATAGTTTTCTCTTTTCAATACTTAATCTTTAAATTTTAGATTATTATTTATTAATGCTAATATTAATCTAAAAACTCTAGAAAATGCGGACGATTTTTATTATTTTTTTTTTGTACTTAGTTTAATTCCTTTGCGATATAATTGTGGCGCTTTAATATGAAACTCATAATTGTCATTAAACTAAAAGCGACGATCTGCGATGATAATTCTCATCTGTCACGATTAACGCGTGCAAACACGCGATCGGCGACACGGTGCTTGTGTCCTTGACTCATTTCAGATACGCCTCACGTTTTGCGACGGTGATCTCATCGAATAATACCCCGTATATACATTCGCCTGTTGCTAGATGATTACTGAGAATCTGTTGTATCACTTTGTATGATTTAGATGACGAAGAGGATACGCTTTGCAGGATACCGCAAGATCATATCGATTGGACCGGTGAAGTGACGATCGGGGTGTGGCTTGCTTTACCTCCTTTGACAGCGATGTGCTTTCCTGAGGAACGGTATCGGTTCTGGCGGCCGACTAACTAACGGCCTGCACCCAGCGTTCTCCCGTTCTCCGTCACCGAGAGCCTCTTTCGTCGAGGACGCCAGAGAGAAGAGGAAAGGAATTTGTTGGTGGGGGCGAATACGCGTTTGTGTCTGTCGGCTGCGAAAGCATTAAACGATGGTTCGGTATTTTTGCCGGCCGGATGAAATCCGGAATTGGATGACACAACGCGGAACAGACCGGTACCGGTACCGGTCTCTCCGTAACTCTCTCACGTGGTCTTCAAATGCAAAACACCGCCGCGAAATAGTTTCTAATTATTCGAGTTATCGAGCCGTGAATATTATTATTCATGCTTCTCTTATTCTTGGTATTGAGTAATATGAATATCATATTACTCGTGTAATAAATTAAATTGTTGTAGCAATAATAATAGCGTTAAATTAACGGAATTGATTTTTTTCAACTTCGATTTCATTCACTTGTTGCTTTTAATTTTTATCAACATTGATCGCAATAACTATTGATTTTTCCGCTTATGTCCTTGAAGGCAATCTTTGCCAAGCCATCACTTTCGAAGCAATACAGTGCCAGGAAATAGATCTAATACAAGAAGCATGAAATCGATATCGATTGTTCGGGTTCATTATTGATGACTATGGTTTCGCAACACGAAATATTAATAATGACCAACCACATGACTCTACAGGAAAAGTTTAAAGTTCGATACATGTACATATATAACCCATTAATATAATTGCCAACGATGGCGGAAGTGGCTTTCGTTTCTTATTTAATCTCTAATTCCCACAATGATTCATGCGAACTTAATGATGTTTTTTTGCTTAGAGAAGTAGGGAACACGAACACAGATATATATTTTTAAGAAAAATAATTAAATATGTGTGGAAAGTTGGTTAGTTTTTATCGTTTTTAATTGTTTGCGAAATGATAATGATTAAAAACAATTTAGCAAACTTTTGGTATCATATCTTATAAGCCAAATATCTACAAATTTTTCAAAGTTCTTATAAAATCATGAATGTTTGATATCGAAGCTCTTTAAACTTTATATGTTGAATTGATTGAGGAAAAAGTATGAATAATCTGTTTATCGTTAGATTAATTAAGCTCTTTGTATCTTATACAAGATTGCGTAATAAGTTACTGATTACAATTGAATCGTGTTTCAAATTTAACAATCTAAGATTATTAAGTTCAAACAATTGTACTATGATTAACATGCTGCAATTACTTGATAAGCAATACTGATACCATTAGTTGATCAAGGCCAATTACACGATGAAAGTCTCACATATCACTTTAATACAAACTGAACATAGTTTTTTTAAAAATAACATACATATTAGTAGAACAATATTCTCTCAACAGCTTTTTTTTTTAAAGAATTTTATGTTGTAATAGTTTTCACGGAAGTGTCAGCTAATTATAGAGAGATCGTGATACATTTTAATCTGCACTTATGTTATATTTGTTTATAGTTTCACTTACAATTTGTGTAGAACACTGGCTATCGGAATTCTTCGTCACGATCTACACGAATGTGAATGTTTCGCTGACTGGGTGGGAACGTTCTGACAGCAGCAATATTAAGGACAACATTGAGGAGAGAGAGACTATGTGCTGGTCAGAACTGGTGGGGTTGTCGACGTAGCATTGCGTAGCATCGAATAATGACGTGGAGAACGCATCCTGTAGCAAGCTAAAAGATGGCGAGTAAACTATCGAATTGGTGCCATATATATGAGATCGATAAGATTACAATGAAAACAATATCTATACATATATAAAATATCAATAGCGAACGTATTACATCATTAGACTATATATACGTTACTGAATTATATCTCATTATCGATTTATAAATAAACGTATTATCTATAATTTTATTTACACGAATTGGAAGTAACGATAGTCACGTACATAATAATTTATCGAATTTTTTTAATTTTTAACTTAAAAAATAAATTTTATACGCTCTTTTAGAACCATTGTTTTTATAATTTGTGTAAAAAATATTAAATTATGTATTATGATTAAAAATTTTTTTTAATATTCATGTTATAAAATTTAAAAAATTGTGTGTTTTCTAACTTCTTATTTTTTTATATAAAATCACATTAATTCGCTTCATATTTCTTTCCTAAATAAGAGAAGAATTAATGGATAAAAATTTATTTATCGATCGACTATTTTGCCTTTTATAAAATTCAGAATGTCATTTGTTACGTATTTCCTTCATCTTTTCATGAATGTTATACTCACAAAGTATATGATTCATAATCCTTGACTCAATGAGAACAAATCGTGACGTTCTTTTACACGTAGAATGCGTGACGGAATCGGCATGCACGGAGTGCCTCGGAAGTCACGCGTTTTCCTGTGAACTGCAGAATGAGACCGAACTATAAATAAACATATTGTAACGCGCGTCAAGCGTTAATAGTTAAAAGCGGTTACGGTTTTAACAAACGTAAACACAAGTGTCAAGTCATATTAAACCGATAAATGACAAACCAAAGATTCGTGCAAACGCACTGAACATTGTTTCTATACATATATATATGTTTATTCCTTGTGAATGATATCATACTGCATACTCGTAAATGTATTCACCCAACACTGTAATCAGATTTTCATGACGCATTCCAGAGGAACTCGATGAATTCACTATATGATATTCAGTACTACATACAAGGATTATTGTTTAAGAGAGTACAAAGTAACTTTTGCATCGATAAATCGGTTATGTTAAAAAGCAAAGAAAATGTAATGAAGAATATTCTTATAAGATCTCATTATTGTGTAATACATTTTAACATGTCGCGGTAAAAAAGTATTATTAATTTTTGTATTAAAAATCGACACTTGGAGCTTATAACTTACAATAGAAGGAAAACACCGAGAAGCCATCTGAAAATGTTTTATTAAGATTACATATGGCAAGCGAGGCTTCCGTTTCCAATTCCTCAAATGAAAAAGCTATCTCCCAATACTTTTTCCGTTAAAAAGTGCATTCCTCCTAGCATCTTGCACTTTGTCTTATCTAGATTATCTACTAAAAATTTGTCTAGGTTTATCACCTTTGCCACCTTGAGAGATTTCTTTCAAACTCCTTGTACGAATCTTTCCTTTACATGTCCATGCTGTACATACAATTGTAGTACAGCGAAGAATGCGTGAGCTGAATGCTGTAATCGTTCGTAATCACGAATATCCTGATAATGAATTTCTCACATTTTGCAGAATATGATACATCATCTTAACAGTAAAATGTATATTTCCAACATACTGTATAAGGATTTATAAAAAAAATTAATATACAATACTGAAAAGCTTTCATCAAATACATCAAAACAGATCTTGATGATTCCGCGTTGTGCGTAGCATAGGAATCATACATATTTTCTCAAACCGTACACGCGTACAAATCTATCTTATTTTCTATGTTTCGACTATACAAGATGTTCTGCGATATGCAATTTTAATCTCATCATCGACGATTTAAAATAAATTTTTCCTTGAAGATTATTTAATTTTAAAATTTAAGTTATACATCTTTGTAATCAATTTCATACAGTTTTGGTTCTTTCAATCATCGTGTTTTACTGAAACAATTAATGAATTTAAAAAATCAACATCTTGTCAATTTAAAAAAAAGAGTAGATAATTAAAATTTTCAATTATTTATAATCAAAACTATTTTTTTAAATAGAAAAAATTATAGTTTATTCAATTTTTTTTATTACTATTAAAATAAATGTATATATCTAATTAGTGACATAATACCAATAAAAACTGCAAACGTAAAATAAAAAAAGTAGCAATTTCCTAATTTTTCAAAAAGCTTAACGAAACTTTGTGTAGAAAAATTTTATCTTGCTTTTATTAATTTTTTTTCAAAATTAATCAAATCATCGATAACCACCTTGTACAATCAAAACCATCTATCCATTAACGGTTCTATACAATGCGTGTCAGACATTTCAGATTCCCGTAAATTAACGATAATAAAGAGAAACTGTATGCAAGAACAATATGAACATAATATATAATAAAATTAATTTTGCTATATAATTGGGATTTTACTAAACGTTATTAACATTGAATACGTAGACATTGTTAATTATGTTCATAGGTAACTGTGATTTGTTACAAGGGAATGAAAGTAATAAAGAAAAGGATGAATTCGAGAAATGCATGTTATACTAATCGTGTGACGTTCTTGATATGTTTTATGTACTAACTATTAAACATTTTTGCAGGCGCAATTAATACAATGTATTTTGCAATACCGGTAATTAAAATATCTCTAACGACAATGCCACTTGCAATAATACATAATGAAGATATCAATAATAGGTGTATAGGGAGAAAGAGATTTGAGCGATAGTAATAGTAGATTAAGAGTGACTTAATAATAGTATCATGATCGCAAGTAGTAGAAGTAGCAGCAACAGCAGTGACAATAGTAATGCTTTTTCAGCAACAATAATAATAATAATAATAATAATAATAATAATAATAATACATGTTTCGATATTCATACAATCTCATACAATAAAAAATTTAACAAACATGCATTTAATAAATTTCTATATAAAAAACGAACTGCAAAAGATTATGTAAATCTGCGACCAAGACGCAATAAAAAATTACTACACATTTTCTTCACTGGACTCGATACACAAGTGCATATATTTAATTACTTAATTATAAATGCGCGCGTTCATGCGACAATTATTAGCATCAGTATATGTCATGATAAAAACAAATTATCCCTACATTGTACAGTAAAACGTCGATCATCCGTATAAATTAACATAAGAACTATGAGTATAACGATGCTATGAGTATAACGACATCTCAGTAAAAAAATATTAAATATAGACATACATATTAAATACATAAAATAAGGATAACAAAAAAACTTAGCGAAAAATCTTACATTAAGAGATAATATCTGTAATTTAATGTAAACTAAAAATATACGTATAAAAAATTCCTTAAAAACATAAATTCTCTTTCTAATAACAAGATTATATATAATTCCGTTGAGATAAATATAACATTGCTTTAAACCCTCCTACTACTCATATTGTATATAGTTTAAGCTTCGTGTAAATCGCAACAAATATTTTTTAATACCTTGTAATAAATATCTTTAATTACAAATACATTTGTAATTAAAATATGTTACAATCTAGCGATTGCGATCTGATGCAAAATTAATGCGATCATTTGATAAGCGAGCATAGATAATAAATTTTACAATGGCATAGTGCATGAGTATTGCAGGATTCAAAAACTGAAACAAATGTATGTACAAAATATTCCAGATTCATTGCATTCTCTTTTATCCATAAATTCTTTAACCAGTCGCTTAGTTCGAAGAATTCATAGTCAAAAAGAAGTGCCACAAGACCTGAAATTATTTTCTCTCTACATATATATGTCGCATTGTAACGCAGTAGTTGTGAGAGGCAAAGGATGAATACTTTACTATTAGATAATGCGTTCAAGGAAGTAGTATTATATTTGTCATACTGATATCGGTAATCTTTTTGTTGGAAGAATATTATTTTTTTTGTGCTTTTTCTTTCGTCTAGATGGATATTCACAGGAACGCTTTTATGGAAATATCTCTCTCACAAACATGCATTTAGGACAGTCGCCGTTCTACTGTATTTTATACATAAGAATGGTGCTCGCAAACGACAAAGTCAACAATAATTGTATTGCATCTTTTACAGAGTGAGACACCTAACTTTACCATCTGAAATATTCTTCCATCTGACATGATAAAAAAGCCATACATAAGTTTCACATAAGATTGTAGCAGTAGATATTATGAAAAGTCGCAAGTTTTTTTGTGAATATGACATAATTCATTTAAATTTGATTTAAAAAACGTGCAAAATAAATGTTTAAATTCACAGAAAAAAAGCAAAGAAAAACGTATTTATCAAGATGAAAATTATCACAGACATGCTGTTTCATACGTCAATGTGTTCCGCATTTCATCAATCAGTTAGATACATGAAAATTCGAAGATAGTTTTATACATATTGTGAAGTAATAATTCTTGAACAAGAATTCCAGAGAAGACATTGTTATATTCACTTAGTCAATCTACACTATGCAAACGTTTTCTAAAAACTGCAAAAATTTCGTATTTGTCATTGTCGTCTTATATCTAAATTGTTTTAAAATTGAAATCTTAGTAGAAAAGTAAAAAAGTAACACAAAGATGCTATTATATTATTATAAAATAGTAAATCCAAAATAGATTAGGAAAATTAAATAAAAAAAATATAAAAGGATATCAATATAACATTTTTTCTTCCTATATATAAATTGCTTGAAATTGATTTCTCTTATTGTCGATATTTCTTTTCTATTTATATATACAAGCGCTCTATATTTGTCTGCTATAGTTTATATAAATTTATTGGAGCTTTGTAACGTCTTATAAAAAAAAAAAATGTAATTACTGTTATGCAGAAGTATAAATAATAACGGACATGTCCTTGCTTCTGAATTAGCGACATGTCTAAAGAATTATAAAAGCAATAAGTTTTACTTTACAGGAACTGTTAATCTCTTATAATTCGTTATAAAGTATTTTTGGACAGAGATTGTGAATATAAATTTTCTTCACATGTTCGACCACTTTAATAATGTATAAGTTTGACTGTATATTTTTAGACACCCTGTATTATCCATAGAGACACTAATACATTTTAATATTTGAGTAGATTTAAACAATTTATATATCATTTATTACAGTAGAAAGTCTTTAAGCCTTATATTAAGTCTTGTGTATATCAGTTCAAAAACATCAAGGGAAACAGTAAAAACTTTCTATTGTAGTACAAAATATTTAAATTATTTAAGTGCATCCTAGCGTTCGCAAATATCTCCCTTATGTATTACCCGTAGCTATCAGTATCTGGTCGACATGTGACACGGTTTGAATTCTACTCTTCTTAAATCACTAGACTCCCATTCAGTTTTCTATTAAGTCACTTGTCAATAAATTCACTCGTCGAGAATGAGTTTTTTTATTAGTAAGTCATATATTCTATGAAATATATGTAAGATTTAAAATTTCGACAAAGTTAAAAGATTATATATATGGAAGAATAGATAGTAAAGAGAAATCGTATTTTCAGTTTTTGAGAACTACAAGAACAAAATTATAAATGTACAATAATAATGTATTATATAATAAATATATTATAAATGCACTATCAACATATCTGAAATAAGAAAGTCTACACAGTAATAACTGTACGTGGTATTAAGTTTGTTCTGAAATGAGAGTCTAATAATATAATTGTTATCATGAATAGTGCAAGAACCTTTCAATGCAATATTTATAAAAAAAAATATCAAGATGAATATTAAGTCAGTTTCCTAAAATTCTCTTGAACATTTTTAAGAAATCACAAGAAATTTCTTTTCTAATAAGAAATTCTAGTAAAAAAGATAACCAATCAATGTTTTTAAAAAGACAGAATCAAATATAAATTCAACACAATTTCTAAAATCATACATCGGTGTTCCATATGGACATGTAGAAAGAATAAAGCAGATGGTAAAGTCAGTGTCCTACTCTGTATAACAATAACATAATTATGGCACAAAACTTATCCTTAAGAGAAAAAAAAAGCTTTAAACAGATCAGGTCGAGACAATTTAATTACATGTTCAGGGAGTTAATCTCTTCTGTAGTGTTTTCTATTTTCGAGACAATTATCTCAATATTCTATAACTTTTTTGCTCGATTAATCTGCATTCGATTTTTTTTGTTCTCGGAACTTCTCTCTTTGTTATTAATCTATATCCATTCGTACATCGCGCTTATAATAAATACAAAAGACCTAAGAGAGGCATTCTTAGGTTTTCCCTATGGTGCAAACTTAAGTTTGCAACGTGTTTGTGATTTCTCGATGTACAGTTACCAGATCCTGTATATAGCCAGCTAGTCTGGCGTTTAACGTATCCAAATTTTGTTTTTGAACTTTATTTGCACTCAACGCAAGTTCTAATTGTTCATGAACTACATTCAACATTTCGCGGAGTTCTGCATTCTCCTTTTGTAAAACCTTGTAAAACAAAAAAAATATATTTGTTAATTAAACACAAACTAATAAAACGTCAATGTCAACACAAATATCGATCATCAGGCTTCAATAAGTTCTATGTACATACCACAAAATCCTTATTTTTGGTGGCCATAGTGAGAGCTTTGATTTCTTCATTTCGCGTTCTCAGTTCGCTTTCTAATGCTTCGACTCTCAATCTCAACGCTTCGCTATTACCTTCCGCGATCTTACCGGCTTCCAAATCAGCATATTTAAGTTTTATTTTGGCATTTTCCTCTTTGTACAACTGCAGCTGCCTCTTCCATTCGTCAACGTTGGCTGTGGACTCCTGTAACGCGCTCGTTAATCTTGCATTATTAGTTTTGAGGGTAGTCAATTCAACCTGTAATGACATATCAATTATAGTATTTTATTATTTATATATCATTTCGAATTATAAAAGAATATTCTCTTCCGGATCGTACCTCCCATTTCTTAGCGTTAGCAGAACTTTGAGCTAGAGCAAGTTTCAGCCTGTCGTTCTCATACTTGAGCTGCACCTCAGCCGACTGTCCACTTTGTGATGAGCTCAACTGCGCAGATTTCCCTTGATGTTGCGGACTTTCTGTACTCTGAGAAATACTCTGTGATCTTGAATGGACTGCGTTTTTCAATTCGTCGTCCACTTTATTCTGACAACTACCAGGTAAAGGACTGCTGCTTACCGAAGATACACTGTTCTGAGCGGAAATCATATTGGCATTCGGGTTCGGGATGTTCGACGATGACACGTTGGAGTTAATCATCGACGAGTTCGGTGGGTCTATGAGATCTTGTTCTGACGACGGCATGCCTGATCGGGACGTAATCGGACTGACGTTCGCACTGGTAGCCGGTGTAACCGAAGAACTGTTGGACTGTAACTTGGCATTGGCCAGCTTCGTGGCCTCTTTCACCTCATGAAATTTTTCGATGAACTGTTAACAAACAATCTCTTCTGAGAGTTTGATATATGAAGATCTTCGCTTGTAAATCATAAGCAATTACAATACAAACCTTTCCTAATTCAGCCTCAGAGGCAAAGCCCAAGCCATACACGGTATTCGCCCTGACGTCCGACCACTGACCAAATTTTTGCGATGTCTTGGTAAAAGTCATGTTTGGAGTAATTGTGCTATTAATGACAGGCTAAAAAAAAAGAATAAGGTACTTTATGAGGGTTCATCCTATTTCTATTCTATTTAAAAAGTCTGATAATAGCTGAATGTTATATCATTTAGTGTATTAATCAGTATTGCCATAAAATTTATTAGGGAAATCAGGAAAATGCCAAGAAAATTGAAAGAAACCAGGGAAAAGTTGGGAAATTTTGAAAAATGCTGGTAAATTAACATTCATGATTTTAAAGAATATGTATACATCAAACCTATGTAGTTTTTTGGAATACTATTAACTTAACAATTAAATGCAAATAGTATTAACATCAATAATAATTTACATTGCTATGCTAAATTATATTCTCAAGAAAATTCGTGGTTTATAAATTAGGACAAAACCACAAAAAATTTCAAAATATTAAAAGTGTCAAGGAAAATTATGACATTTTGCTTAGAAATGAGGGAAAAATTATGGAATTTTAGGATGAGGAATCTGTGGCTGCCCTGTTAATGCAATATTTAATAGAATAACACACTAACTATTTAATAATTAAAAAAGTAAAAAATTAATGTTTAATTGATTTTGATTATATTAATGAAACATTTAATTGAAATTATTTCAAGTTTCAATAACTGTCATTTAAGCTTGATTATTATTGCCAGACTTTTTTTCAGTGAATGTCACTCTTAATTACCTTTGTTCCTTCAATTGAAATTATTCTGTATAAACTCCTGGTGGAATCGTAAAAGAATGATACTGATATTGCTGCCGATGATGCTGGTACCCAAGACCGTTTGGTCTTGGGATCGATGTGAAACACGTGCGCTTTGCACATGAAAATTGGTTGTTCACTGTAATCAATTCGAACAATAATAGAGAAATGTGTATGCGGTCTTCTATACATGATACAAAGCATCTATTTTTAACCGACCTAGTTAATGCGAGTGCATATTTAAAAATGTACTGTACAGAATTGTTGCATAAAATTATAAAGAGATAAAAAAACATTTAAAATAAAATTCATAGAAAGACAAACAATATTATATTTATATTTATATTTAATATTAGCAAATAAAATATATTAATAAATAAAATATGATTTCACTCGATGTTTTATCAACAATGTATTATTATAAACCCAAGCAAAACCTCTCTTTTCATGCTTGACTTAAGAAATTATTTTCTTATAAATAAAATACAAGATATTTATGTGGAAAAAAATTAAATGCATCAATGTATTCTCATATACATAAATTTCGCATAGAAAGTAGTTCAAAATTTCTGCTAATTTCTGCCGCAAATCCGATGGGATCTACTTTCTTTCTAGTGAACGTCGCATGACGTGACGGAAGTATCGCCGTCGGAAGTACGAGCGAGTCGTAATTTCTTGCGGAGGGGAAAAAAAAAAAAGAAAAAGAAAGCGAGTGCATCCCGCTCGGTATTATCCGGATACGCATCAGTGTCAATCAGGCCGGCGATCAAGTCGGGGGAGAGACGCAGCGTTACGTTGCACCGAGAGGGGGCCGGATCCCCGACATCTCCGTCTTCCGCATCTTCGGTACGATCGCGGTGCGGCACGATGCGGCGCGGCGCGGTGCGTGCACGCACGACGGAGATGCCGGCGACAGGCGCGGCACTTTAGACACGCGTACTTCGGAGGGCGGAAAGAGAAGACAGAATCGGTCGTACGCGCGAAATCGGCACGCGGTGCGGCACGTCCGCCGCACATCCTTAAAAGGAAAGCGGTGAGGCGAGGGGGAGAAGAGAGGAAGAAGGGCCAGGCGGGCCCAAGGCGGCCGGAACTTCGCTTACCCCATTGTCTCCTTGCCCGATGTCATATAAGAGGATCTATCCTTTCACTCGCGTGCTCTCGTAAATCCTGCGAGCGCGTATTCAACGCGAGCGCACGCCGACTATTTTCGGCCCGGGCGAGGTGCGGGTCACCGCGTTACGGCCAAGTACCGTCCGTGCGAGGGCTGAGATCCGCGAGTTGACAGCCGCCATCGGCCAAAACTCCCTCCCTCGCCCGCCCCACCCTCGCGCGCGCTCACCACGGCACGAGCCGCCTCTACTCTACGCCACTCTACGGCGTAGCGGCGTACGCGTATGGTTACGGGCGACGGTCACGCGACGGCATGAACGTAGCCGAAGTCAACTACGACAAGTCCACCTGGGTCTGATCGATTTTTCCGCGAAGGACACGCGCCATTCGCCGTTAACCTCGCCTCGACACGCCACTTCGTGTGGACACCGTCCAACGAATCCGGCGAATCTCCCACACCGGCCGAATAAGCGCGACGACTCCGCGAAAAGTGCCACGCGCGGGCGCAACGCACTCGGATTTGCCCTCAAGCCTCGAACGCAACGACGCGATTTGAATGGCGGAGTAACTATGAAAAAATATTGTATAGGGAAATCGTACGCTCGCGCTAAAGTTTGCCGCTCGTTGTCCATTGGATTGGTTGGCAGTAAAATCGTCGCGTTCGATTTTAATTTCGCATTCCATTCCAAACTTCAATTCATGAATGAGTAATTGCGTGATAAGATCATGATTTATTTAACTGATTGATAGTAGAAATTATTACGTTAATTCGGATAAAATTATTAATAATTTAATGCTTTATATCTGAAGGGAGAGAATTACAGGAGAGACAATGATCATGATGTAATCAGAAATTCTGCTGTGAGTAATTCTGCCATTTCAATTAATCGCTAATTAAGCTGGAATTTGGTCGAGGTTGACCTAATTTTATTTATGCTTTGTGTGATCCAATATTATTGCAAAGGTATAACTATTTCTTATTTAATATACCATGCATTTTTAATTTTATTACATTTTTTTAGAAATTTAAAATATGAGCTATTTTTTGAAAGTGATACAAATTTAATTAAAAGAAATGAGTTAATCCAGTTCTAGTTAAACATAGATTTATGTTTAATTAAAACTGGTATTAACTCATTTCTTTTTTATTCTTATACACTTAAAAAAAAATGGCTCATATACAAAAGTTCCATGTTTATGTTTACTGAGATTTTATTTATTTTGTTAAAATATTGTAAATGTATCATCAATATGCATTTATTTTGTACTAAATGAATTTTATAAAAGAAAACAATGACAGAGACAAAAATAGAAAAGATAAATTCAAGAATTATATTTAAATAAATTATAATTGAAATTAATTAAATGCATTAAATTATTATTAAATAAATTAAACAATTATAACAAAAATCCAGTTCTTTACTGTTTTTAAAAATATATGACGTGGTTTTTATTATAAAAATATTGTATCTTTAATATATCTATTGTTTATAATGATATCTGATAATTATATATGAAAGAAAATTCCGTAAGAGAATTAATAAGCTAAATAACTTCGTATTTCTGATATAAACAAGTATAAAAAACACAAGTACCTTGCTACAGGAAATATATATCTAAAAAATTTTATGTTTTTTTGCACATAATTATAATATATATAATTTATGCAAAGGTTTGATATTAATTTGATTGGATTAACGTTGTATACAAGTCACACGTATCCTTATAAAAAATAATAGTTATATATTATGCAAAACAATGCTATATTTTATACAACATAAATCTCATCTTGACAAAGAGAGATCATGTAAATAATTCAATCTACGAAAGTTGAACGAGATCAACGGGCGCGTATAGGCTTAGAATCATACGGAACAATCTTTCAATTGAATACTAATTATCATAGACGGCTCCTCGATATTATCCAGACTCTGTCGAAAGAGTTGAGCGTGCTGCCAAGCATGCTGACCTTGTCCACCGGACAACATTACGACTATGTTTATTCTCACCGCCTTTCTCACTTCTTCCGTGTGAAAGTTATTGCAGTTGGGAACAGATATCGTAACTGCTTTGTTATCGTCGAAAATGGCTTCGATTTTCCAAGATACTATGGCATTTTGAAACACATCCGACTTAGCTTTCAGAGTCAATGTCTCTAAACACAATTTGGAATTCGGGATTTCAAAAGTCCATTTAACACTGCCACGTTTCGCTTGCTGAGACCGCGCCAAATAAACCATCTTCCAATCGTTCTCCACTTTACGGAAGACTCCACCTTCCATGGCGTTCATCCCTTCTAGCCATCCAGATTTCTCTTTCAAAATAGTACCATTTTTACGCATAACGTAATATAGGTCTTTAATGATGTTGTACCGCAGTTCGAACGTTTCTCCGTATTTCGAAATGTCCCAAATATAACTCTTCTCCGTGTCGGTCTAAAAGGCGTTTAATGATTGAGTAATGAAAGTTCTTGTTAGTACCCGGTAAATAGAAATTAACAATAATATTATCAACATTACAATTTCTCAACAATATAAATTTAATGTAACGCATTGTTGGGAAAAAAATTATGCATTGATGTATAGTACTGTTAGTAGATGTTTACTGGATTTACTCTTTTAAAACGAAATATGAAGTTTATAAAGATATATGCAAATTCGATAATATTTGAATATTTTGTATCGAAAAGAACATAACACATTTTTCGAGTACTTTATGTCATTTCAAAGTTTGCGCTAGTTTCAAAATTTGAGTATATCCGCACCTGCGTAATTTCACCTCGTGCCAATCTCCATATAAGAGAACCCGAAGTTCGCCCTTCGTAAACTTCTTCGTCAGAGTTCTTCTGCAAATTTGGAATGTACAACATATCGACGAGCTCTAATAATTTCCGCTTGACGACGTACTCTCTACGCGTGTTACTGTAACCGACAGAGTTTTGCCGCTGATGAGTCAACATTTGTAGTAGATGTATTAAGCTCTGTTCGGTACAAATTCTTCGCCTCTTCATGACGGTTTCTTGGTCTCGTGTGTAACGCCACGTGACATCCTGCACCTCGTCCCTGGAATAGGCTATTATATATGTCAACTTCTTGTGCCATCCCTTTTCATACATTAATGGCTTGTCTATGGTATTTTCACACGGATCTACATGAATCCATCTCTTGTTCGACGCCGACCATATCTGTGAAAGTAAAGAAACAAGTTACATCATAAGTTAGATTATAAATATACCTCGAAACTAATGAATGATACCTCTGTCCAGACGTGATCTGTTTCGTCGCATATAAATCGCGCATCGTAGCCTAACGATCGGCATAAAAGGGTAAAGACATTAGCCCATTCGCCGCAGCGACCGCGTCTCAGGGTCAGCAGTGGTTCTGGATGCGTGTAACGAGGAAATTCGACAACTATATTGCATTTTTGGCATCTACGATTGAATTAATGTCACAGTGATATTGCAAAGTTGTTTACAATACATGAGATTCTCTGATGAAAATAATTCTCATATTTTTTCATAATATTTTTAAGAATTTATTGTCATGTTTTAAATTTATGAAGATTTCTGAAAAAATATCTTAAATTTTTTAAAATTGTATAAGTTTTTCAGATAAATTATAAAATTATTTCTCATAAAATGAGAAATCATAAAAAACTTAAAATATATTTCAGAATATTCATATAATATGAAAAATTTTTAAACTTTCAGAAGTACACCTCTGAAAAGTGTTTTAATTTCTATAAAAAAATCTGAAAAATTTTCTAAAAAGTTATAAAATTATACAGAAATTCTGAAATTTACATAAAAAATTATCTAACAATTTAACTAAAAAATTGTAAGAAAAAAAATCTAAAGAAATGTCTACCAGGATTTTTTATCGAAAAGAATGTTATACCTGTACAACTCTATTCTTGAGCAATTAGGATAATTTGTAGACTGTATCACATTTTCGTATGTGCATTCAGTGGAGCACGTCGTACACTTTGGATTGTTGATCCATTCAAAAAATTCATACTTAAACCAGCGTAGAAGTTCAATCAGAAATAAATCTTTAGCTATTAATTCTGCCTCGAATTGTGAAGAGGTAGCTTCAGCATTCTCTAATTTAAAAGATCTGCAAACGTCAGATAAAAGAATAAGTATATGAAGATAAATTTTATCAAAGAAGTTAAAGAGCATAGATAGTATTAAATTACTTTTGTAGATCCCTTATTTTCGTCATTGTCGCAATTTCTAATTGTACAACAGGTACAATTCTTTTGGCCTTTTCTTGTAAATTTGGATCTTCATAGTATAGAACATCATGAAAATGTCCGACGATTCTGTTGAAGAATGTCTTCTGCACTGTAGAGCTCTTGTCAATGTCATCGATAATAGGACTGCTTTCTTTCGCAGTACACAATAACCTCGACAGGCTCTGGAGCTTCAAAAGGGACGCATTTCGTGGTAAGAATATGCGTTCTCCATCCTGTTACGTACAATTGACAGCTTAGCAAGGACTTCGACAAATGTAATGTTCAAATTTAAATGTATATAATAATTAGTTTATAATTTTACTAAACATAACTAACAGTACTAACAGAATTAACAGTAATATTACAATACATCAATGTTACAATTTCTTACTTAACAATACATTCATTAGAACAAGCAGCTTTGCAACTGTTGTAAGATTCTTTAATATAATTGATTATATTATACATTTAGATCCAGTAAAGAATTAAGGGCATCCTGGTAAAAAAATTGAGAAAAAACGATTGAGAATAATAGGATTTCAATTTTATCAATTTGTATTATATTCTCTATTATAGATCTCGTGAGTATCCCAATTGATCAGATATTAATTTTATTGTATTTTATTAGATTCTATAAGATTTGTACGAAATTACTATAAGACTTGATTTAAATTAGTAAATCCACAAATCACATTTCATTTCTAAAACAATAGAATTTTTTGTTATCATAATCAACTTTTTTTTACCAAGATAAGAATCAGTCACATATTAAAAAGAATCTTGCAAGTTGCAAAGTTGCTATTTCTGCTGAACACAGCCAATGTAACTGTTATGTATAATATGATATGTTACATTTATATTATTGGGAAATTATAATAGCTGCTCTCTTTCTTCAAGAGACACAGTTGACACTAACGTTTTATCTTCTCATTTAATAAATAACAAAGGTTGCTTTTTATTTAATGATCCAAGTTGACGCAAGTGTTGTTACGCCTTTGTTACTGATTGAATGTTAAGAAAAATAGAATAATGTTATTATCAACTACGTCACTAAATAGAAAGCATTCAAAGATAAAAACAACACTTGTGCCTCCTAAAAGGAAAACGACCAATATTGATTTAATGTTACTGTTTGCATGACACTACTGTTTCATTTACAGTAATCAAGAAAGAAAAATCAAGAGAATCTCGAAATTAAGCCAGTACAGACCTCAACGTAGCCGACGTCGAACAGACATTCCAGAGCGCCGATAGCCGGCAGAAGCTTTTCGACAACGACCTCGTCGTCAAGACGCAGTTCGCGGGACCTGTAATTGTCCGGCGACCTCAAAACATTTCGGCAGATACTCAGCAGCGCTCGTCGAGCTTCGTCGCGCACATCTTCCGTATTCTCTTCGAGGGATTTCACGCAACGCTCCAGACTTTCGTCCATGTCGACGTGGACAATACTCATAATAATACTCTCGGACAGCCGACAATCATCTGTTCCCGATCGCTGTCGGGTACTCACTTGCCGTCATTTTTGCTGACTCCTCACGCGTTGCTGGTCACTAGGTATACAAGATAAAGCTCTCAACTGTCAATTCGCATGAAGCTGCTGTATCCAAAACGAGATAGACGCAGGCGCGTAGTCTCTAGTGAGAGGAGGAAGACACGACAGATAAATGATAGGTTTTACCGACAGCAAATGAAGCACGAGCTGCGCCACGAGGTTGCGGCGAATACGGACGGATCTAGACGGCGTCTCGTAGGAGACGTTCCCTCATCAGTGCTCATCAGACACGACATGTGTGCTCCATTAGATACTCAAGTCAACTTCGGGATGCGGCGCAAAGGGGGGCAACGGTGTCCGCCTACCGCGGGCTGGTGTGGGCCGTCTCTTCTGTGCGTGTCTCGCCCGTCGGTTCGTATATGGTCACCCGCAGGAATCAACACACGCAATCTCACGCGACTTTCGAGGACCGCGTCGAATCCACGAGATGCGTGTTTCCGATTGACACGGGGGTGCTCCATTTCCTTCCTTTTGCAAGAGAACGCCGCAGTTACATACGTACGCAGCGTGTAATGAGGTTGCCACGCTGGTGTTAGTGTCAGGAACATGGCTATATTTAGCGTATGACGGCTGGCCATTTCGGAGCAGGAACGACTTGATATAGCTCGCTCGCGGCGTCGCCTGTTGTGTGTTTACGGTTTCGGTTCATGATAACGGCGCGAAAATGGAGGATATATTTCAGTGGTGTCGTGAGGGCAATGCTATGCAAGTCCGCGTCTGGCTGGATGACACCGAGCATGACATGAACCAGGGGTAACTACTCCAGAACTCCTTTTTTGGAAAGGATTTGTCCCGCCGGACGTTTCTTTGAGTCTGACTCTATAATTAGGCTGGCTGGACGATCCAATAATTTCGAATATTCTTTATGAAAAGTTCCCTGGGGCGTTCCAGGAAACAATTAAAAATAGAGTTTGATTATCAAAATAATTGAATAGATATAAAATAAACGGATGATTTGTATTTGGTGACAAGTTAACACAAGTTCTATCTTTGTTATTTACTGAATGTCAAGAAAGATAGACTGATGCATGTGTCGAATTGTACCATCATGGAAAGTACTACTCTTTGCAGTGTTTTGTCTGTATATGACACTTTAAATCTTGTTTTTTGGATGATATCCCAGCATCCGAGAATGGATTAAAATGGATTGGATTTTGTCTATTCGAATTCGTATTTTAAACAGCAAAAACTTTTTTTTGGATTCAATTGAATCCAAAAAAAAGTTTTCAATTGGATTCAATTGGATGCAACTGGATTGAAAAACTGCGTTTCCTATTCAAAATTATGAATTGAACAGTATATTCACTAACGCACTGAAAAAGCTAATATTATTTTATGATTGAAAAGTATACAGTATATGCTCCATGCAATTCCTATAAATGAATGAAAACGTCTTCGGATTAAAAAAAATTCATTTTAACATTCATGAATCCGTATTTCTGAAAATTTGTATCCATTTTAATTCATTTCAATCCATTCTCAGATACTGTGTATGTCAACAAACTATTTGCATTTGACTGCAAATATCTATCATACAATAATTTGGATTTTAATATTTTAAAATCTCATTGCAAATTTCATTGTCCTTGAACATGTTATTCTGTATATAGAGATGATCACGGATTTAGTCCACTTCACTGGTGTGCTAAAGAAGGCCACTTAAAATTGGCGGAGTTGTTAGTTGCCAGAGGAGCACGCATTAACGCCACCAACAGAGGAGATGATACACCATTGCATCTAGCTTCAGCACATGGACACAAAGAGATAGTACAGCTGGTAATGAAAGAAGGATTTAATAACGTCGTTTTGTTTAAACTTTTATCTGCAGTCTGAGCTTTTTTTTGCATAAACAAAATTTTATTCTCAAATTCTAAAATTAGGGACTGTCCAGTTTTTTCCTAAAACATCTTGTTAAAAAATTATTTGATAATGTAATAGAGATGTTGAAAAGTAGCCCTGGATTTTCCACATTTTTTAAAAGCCTAGAATAGTAAAAAAACGGGTTGGGTAGAGGAAGTAAAAATAGGAAAAACTGAAAGTTAATTAAGGTTATCAATTTAAAATTTATAACTATTTGCAGTTGCTTAGGAATCGTGCCGACGTAAACGTCACAAATGAACATGGAAACACTGCCTTGCACTATGCTTGTTTCTGGGGAGATCAGGCGGTTGCGGAGGAATTGGTCGCAGCGGGTGCTCTCGTATCTATCGCCAATAAAGACGGTGACACCCCTCTTGATAAAGCCAGAGGTGTCGTGGCCAAGAGATTACATGGTACGTAAAAGTTTGTACATTTGGAATTAGTTCTGTCGTATTAACTGAGTGTATTTCTTGTTTCGTTAGAAAAATAAAGAAAGGAAAATATGGACTAATAAGAGTCAATGCGAATGTTAACGTGCAAGTATATTCGAAGTATGCAAAGTTACTGAAGCGTTTGTATTATGTAACTTTGAATATATTATACATACTTGAGTATTAACATTCATGTTAACTCTTATTATTTTTGTTTGATTTCAAGAGCTCAATTAATTTGTTTGTTTCATTAGATTTAGCAGTGGAGTATGGACAAGATTTGAAGAAGATACAGTTCAAAGATCAGAGTTGGTTAGGCTTGAAGACCAGAAGCCGTAAGTGTTTTTTAAATTCCTGAAAAACGACAAATAAGTATCGGGAGTATGTTTTATTTTTTTAATAATATTTTCTAGGTGACGCAACTCTCTCGAGATACAAAGGAATCAGTATGGCGGATCTGTCTCTCCACATGCATCTCGCGAGCACACCGAGTGGCGAAACCTGGAGAGGTCGATGGCAAAACAACGATATTGTCGCCAAGATATTAAATATCCGTGAGTGTACTACGCGCATCTCCAGGGATTTCAACGAGGAGTTCCCAAAGTTGAGAATTTTCTCGCACCCGAACGTTCTGCCAGTTCTCGGTTGCGTGAATCAGCCCCCGCAGTTGGCGACCGTCTCCCAATACATGGCAAGAGGCAGCCTACATAGACTTCTACATGGCGGGACGGGTGTTGTTGTGGACACTGCGCGTGCTCTACGATTAGCTCTTGACGTCGCCAGAGCTATGGCATTTCTTCACGGTTTGGATCGGCAGAATAGATGCAGATTTCATCTCAACAGTAAGCACATAATGGTAAGTTTTGGACAGTCAATAATTATATAAATAGTTAGTTATCTGATTATGTAAGAAACATTTTGTATTTGTGTTGGGAATACTCCAATACAAGTTCTTGTTCAAATTTTGTGTTGAAATTTTAACATATTCGAGTGTTAATTTACCACAATGTGATTATGTTTATTTAAATATTTTGTGTTAAATTCATATTCAATGTTTCTTAATAACAAAATAACAATTTGTGAGTAAGTGAGCAAGTAATATAAAAATAATGTTTTAAATTTTAAAACGTAAATTGCAAGGGAAATGAATAAAGCACGTGTTAATTTAATATATTATAAATATTAATTTTACTGAAAAATATGCTTCCATAGTTTGCTTACTAATTATGTTAATGTTAAATTTTTTGTGTTTATTTTTTACATAATATTTGTGTTGTTTTAACATATAAAGCTTGTATTAAATTGATACAAAATTTGAGTAGACTTGTTAACACAAACTTTCCAACTGTGCAGTCTGTAAACTTGAACGCACAAAATCTACGTTTATCTTACACATTATATTTAATTTCAATATCAGATCGATGAGGATCTAACAGCTCGTGTGAATATGGCGGATGCAAAATTTTCCTTCCAAGAAGTCGGGCGAATTTATGAACCGGCATGGATGTCGCCGGAAGCTTTGAGCAAACGTCCGGTGGACATCAATCACGAGGCGAGCGACATGTGGAGTTTCGCTGTTCTTTTGTGGGAGTTGGCGACCAGAGAAGTACCATTTGCGGATCTATCGCCTATGGAATGTGGCATGAAGGTGGGCAACATATCTTTTTAAAAAGAAAGTACGGTACAAGGTTCTCTCTCTCTCTTTCTCTTTCTTCCCCCCATAACTTTGGCAAAAAAATATCTCATCGTTTTATATATAGCGATCTTCATTTGAGCTGATTAAAGGATTGATAATTAATTTTAGATCGCCTTGGAAGATTTACGCGTAAGCATTCCGCCGGGCATCTCTCCGCATCTCGCAAAGCTTATTCGAATTTGTATGAATGAAGATCCGGGCAAGCGACCGTCCTTCGATATGGTTGTGCCGATCCTTGACAAGATGAAACGCTAAAATATATTTGATAAAAATTAACACGATCAAAAGAAATAATGGAGTACATCCAAATTTAATATAGTGCCTAAAAAATCTCTATATTTATTAAACTGCCTAAAGAATTGTTATTAATAGCGATATTTTTGTATCAATATATTCCGCAAGTGGACAAATACTGCCTTTAAATGCCTAAGTTCTATAAACGAACTAATTTTTAATTATTTATATTTAATATAAATTTATAAATGTATTGTAGAAATGCACATTTATATTTGTAATCTATAAAACAAGTTTTTAAATGTGTAGCTCGAATTGTATCTATTTAGTGCAGTATCTGACGAAATTTGCAGGGTTTTTAATATAAAAGGATAGAATAATAATTATTTACACACAAACATTAGAGAACATATTTTTTATAAAATGTTTAATAATACATTTTCCTGTATGTCGTCAGATATATATTATAAATACATATTATATGTACATTGATTAAAATCAGGATTAATAAAACTAAATGAGTAGAACTATAATATCAATCTCATTTAGATTAGAAAGCGAGTATGTATTTTTAATAAAATATTTAAATAATAACTAGGTTGGAACAAAAGCTCGTAGCATTTGTCAAAGACAGTGTTTAAGCATTTATATACAGATTTATTCAACTACGTATGTACCATTCTGTTCCACTACCTTTTGCCATCTTTGAGGCAGTTTCATAATTCCATTCTCCCAAAACTTGGCATCTTTTTCAGTGATAAACTGCTCTAAGTGGTTTTTACAAGCTTCTAGGGAATTGAAGCTCTTTCCATTAAGAGACTTCTGTAGGGCCCGGAATAAATGGTAATCTGAAGGTGCTAAATCAGGCGAATATGGCGGATGAGGTAAGACGTCCCAGCCAAGTTGCATCAATTTCTGCCGACTCTGCAAGGAGATGTGAGATCTGACGTTGTGCTGATGGAAGACAACACCCTTCTGATTAGCCAATTCCGGTCGTTTTTCATCGATTGCTGCCTTCAAGTTCTCTAATTGGGAACAGTATTTGTCCGAGTTCAACGTCTGGTCGTGCGAAAGGAGTTCGTAATACACGACACCCTTCCAATCCCACCAGATGCACAGCATCACCTTTTTTGGATGCAGATCATCTTTTGGAGTAGTCGACGATGGCTCGTTTCGTTTTCCCCATGTCCTTTTTCGCTCCTGCACATTGTTGTAAACAATCCATTTTTCATCGCCAGTGATTGTCCGTTCCAAAAATGGGTCGTTTTTATTACGTTTGAGCAAAGAATCGCTGACGGAAATGCGGTCCATTAAATTTCTTTCCGTCAAATCGTGAGGCACCCAAACATCGTAACGATTCACGTATCCGAGTGTTTCCAAATGCCTTACAACACTCATATGAGATATGCGGAGTATCTCTGCGATGTCCCGTGTCGTGTGACGTGGATTATTTTCAATTAACGTTACGATTTGATCATCATCAACGACTGCGGGCCTACCGGAACGTTCTCGGTCCTCCAGATCAAAATTACCACTTCTGAATCGAGCGAACCACTTACGCACAGTACTCTCAGCTACGGTACCATCTCCATAAACGGCACATATCTTTTTTGTTGTTTGTGCAGCGTTTTTTCTTTTCCGAAAATAAAAGAGCATCAAATGGCGAAAATGCACCTTATTTTCCTCCATCTTTACTGTTAACGTAAACGTCGTAAATACATTTTAGAATTGACAAATCCATACACAAATCGCTTAAAAAGACGCGTTGAAACATCACCTGTCAGATTGTGTATATGTCATATGCTTCAGCCACGCGTGGAATGAATCAGGTGTTTAAACGCCACCTATTGAAAAACGCTACGAACTTTTGTTCCAATCAGAGCCATCAAAGGTTGCATTCGAAAATACTATTCGTGTGTAGCTGAGTATTATCTTTGTTGTTCACTGAATATTAAACAAAGACAAAATGATACTCAGAGGTACTCGGATAGTGTTTTCGAACACCAGTGTTGTGCGTGTAATAATAATCTATATCTATAAATTTACAATAATAATAATAATAATGCATTATCTATTATTGCTGTTGTTGTCGTAGATTTATAGATCATTATATATTGTTACTGTAATAACAAAAGTAAATAACAGCTTTTGTAGTAATATAGTTAATAATAATAATAATACAATAATAATAGATATACAAAATAATACATATAATAAGAGTAATATTTTATAACATAATAATAAATAATTTACAATAATATGTACAATATAATTGAATACAGGGTGTCCCATAATGATTAATTAATATATTTCAGAGGATGAAAGCGACGAGGGTGCAATACATTCAATACAACTTGATTACAAAGAATCTAACGTCACGCATAAACTATTCATGTAACAATTCGCAAAATATAAAACTATAATATATTTTAATATTTATCTTAACTATTCGCGTTGGTGAACTCATCGGAGGACGGGGGCGGGGGGCCGCAAAAATCTGAATCTCCAAAAAGACAAAAGAGCATTTAAAAAATCCCGGTGATCGGGAAAGAAACGAACGACGCTTAAGGAGAGATTCTTGAGATCATATTTTGAGACGAAAATTCTAATACTGAAATATTTTGAGGCTATAATAACTTTTGAATTATAAGTTTAAAAATAATGAATCATATCGTCTAAAGTTGACGCGCTCAGGAGCGACACAACGCAAAGTACTAAACGCAAAAATTATCGGAAATTGTTTTGCATAATTGCGCACAACTTCACAACTCTCTTATTTGCGGGTGAAATATATATAATTTATTTTGTAAATTAATTATCATAAAGTTAATTAATAAAGTTGTACAAATAATTACAATAATTGTTCATAATTAATGATTTTATAATATTCATATAAGTTCCCATAGTTTCTTCGGATTATTTCAATAATAAAATGTTTAAAGTGTATTTGAACAATGCATTTGTGGAAATATCAATAGAATAAAATCTTATATATATTCACATATGTATAATCCTAAAATTAATATTAACAAAAGAAGTGATAAAAGTTTTCGCGTTTTTGTGCCGCTCCTGAGAGCGCGCCAATTTTAAGACGACATAATTCGTTAATTTTAAACGCTTATAATTTAAAGATTATTATAGCCTCAACATTTTAATATTAGAATTTTCAAAATGATTTCAAGGAGTCTTCCCTTAAGCTCCGTTTCTTTCCCGGACACCCTGTATATTAATAATTAATATACAACTTTAATAACTCGGTAAATATCTGAGTCAAAATTGACAAAGGAAGTTTTTTAATTCAAAATTTTATCCCCTTTTACCTAGAGCTTTTACCCCTTGAAATATTAATTAATTGTTATGGGACACCCTATATAATAATCTAAGGCCATCATTTAATAGGTGCGCACACGTATAAACACATATATATGTACACATACAGCACACACACACACACACACACATAGCCAGCCAGAGTCCTTGTACTTGTTCAATGCGACTTACGTTTATTTAATAACCTAAAAATGGCTGCGATCCGCAATCTCGCCCGGTTTACGGAAAGGGCGAAGTTTTTGAATAAGTGTTACTTCACGAACCAGAATGGCACTCTAAGGTCATTCTCCACGAACGGAGCAATTATAGGGCTGTCGCGAGAGACACAAGCCTTAGTAAAATTCGGTCTCATCAGCACGGTTACCGGCGTTGCGCTAGGTGCAGGTTATGCATACTACAGGATCAGCGAAACTCGAAAAAACATCGCCCTGGACGGAACGGAGTTGGATACTGTATTGCTCGAGCACAAGCCGCCTGTCACTCCGTCCCGGAAGGTATCTTGACAATCGTTCCGTGAAAAATTGGATGTTGCATCTTGCAGAATGTAATCATATTTATCTTGTTTTAGATTATGTATTCGGTGGACACCACCGATTTGAAACTTACGTTATTCCAGTATCAGACTTGTCCTTTCTGCTGTAAGGTAGGTATAAACTTTCGGAAATTTCAGTCAGGCTCTCTAACTGTATAATTTATTCTTAATCTTGTCTTCCTTTTCGCACTTTAATATTTCTTTAACTGTAAAAAATTAATAATTTTATTTATATTAACAGAATGATATTGATATATTTAAATATAATACAGATTTTATAAAGATACTTAATACAGATTTAATATATGATTAATTTTTAATATAGATATTTATTCAGCAAACAAGCTAACATTATTTGTTGTTTTGATATTATTTTGATGTTAAAATGATGATAAATAACATCAGCTTGTTTGCTGAATAATAAACTAATCTGTTAAGTTAATCTGTGAATGAAATTAATTACTCTTCAGGTTAGAGCATTCTTAGATTATTATGGGATATCTTATGACATTGTGGAAGTAGATCCAGTACTTCGGAAAGAAATCGGATGGTCTTCATATAAGAAAGTTCCAATCCTCTTGACCCAAGTGGAAGGAGGCTATCGACCCTTAAATGATAGTAGCATGATAGTGTCACTTCTTGCCTCCTATCTATATGATAAATCTCAAACGATTGAAGAATTTGCTGATTATTATCCAAGTGTAGGCATGCATGACGAAAATGGCAAATTCAAATACGAAATCATAAATAAGTATTTCCTCATGTTTAATAATAAACTTCCAAAGAACAGAACAATGAACGATATTGTGTATGTAAAGTCTGATACACACAATTTGATAATTGCTGCAAAATAGTGGACTAACCCACATTTTGTAAAAACAAAATAAATTAGCTCTAAACTTTGGCCCGGTTTTTTCACTATCTGGTTAACTTGTGGTCAATGACATTATCATAAAGGAGCCCATCGAATAAATCATCAAATTAAGTTTACATAAGTTAAATAGATAATCAAAAAGTGGATTTTAAAGTAAGATGGATAGCTTTCCTTTTTCACTTTAATTTTAAAGTTTATTTACTCAGTTTTTTTTACAAAATGTGGATCGACTATTGCAACAAACCCTTTAGTTATCTCACACTTTATACTATTTTATAATTTCTACATACATTTAGCGAGGAACGTAAGTGGAGGAAATGGGTAGACGACGTATTTGTTCACACTCTTTCGCCAAATGTCTATAGAACACTCGATGAATCCTATAAAACTTTCAAATGGTTCTCGACAGTAAGTAAATTTATGAAAAATAATTTAAAAAATACCAAAACGATTATATAAATGAGATTTAAAAAAAATTGTTTCATTAGGTCGGCAAATGGGAGGAATATTTCCCAACGTGGGAGCGAATGTTAATAGTGAATGTAGGTGCAACAGCAATGTGGTTAATAGGAAAGAGACTTAAGAAAAGGCATCGTCTAAAAAATGACGTACGACAATCGTTATACGATGAAGCAAATTACTGGCTGCGTAACATTAAGGCACGTGGTACCACATTCATGGGCGGCAACAAGCCTGATTTATCCGATCTAGCGGTATATGGTATTTTAAAGAGTATCGAAGGCTGTGACGCTTTCCAAGATTTGCAAACTAATACGAACATCGGCGTTTGGTACAACGCTATGAAGGAGCAGGTTGATGCACATTCTGGTAGCACAAGTTTGAGTAGATAATAATTGATTTCCACACGTGTATAGAGTTATTTATTTACACAATAAATCGTACTTATACAATTAACGATATGGTGAGATTACAGTACTTTCGGTCAGAAAAAATATATAATATATATTTGTAGAAAATATATTTATATAATACTTAAATTGCGCAAGGCAGCTGACGAAATGTAAGTGCGAAGCCTTTATTTTGGACCTCTTGCATTTCATCGCCGTTTGTAACAACGTAAAGTACGAATGGCTTCAAGTCCGCTAGAAATTCAATGAAAAAAATATTTAGTATCTAAAATGTATAATGTGACATGATTACTTACATGTTTTAGTTATAAATCCATTTCCGCAAAATCTATCTGTATTATCGGCAACGCCGTTTTCACGCGGATCGGGTATAATAACGAAATCAGTAGTACAGTTTATTCCAGATTCTGCCACCAAGGCTGTGCCTGTTGATATATATAATAATTAAACGCCATGACAAATAACAAGATGTTCTACGATCGAGTTTTACAAAATGTTCGATACAATCAATAATTATCGTTAGATTCATTCAGAAAATGTTCAAGGAAAGATAATTACTATACCTATTATATCTGGATCAAACGATCCCGTGTCTCCAGAAACGGAAAAGGAGAGTGTATCGACTTGCGACCACTCAATATTACAATATCCCAAAGCCATTCTAACGCACACGCCATAACGATGATTCACCATCTGTCGCGTTCCAATCTGAGGAGCTGAAACAACTCTCAGTTTAGACCGTTTATTTATAGTTATAATAATAATTTAAACTAAGAGTTCACTATGACGTTTGACTAACGCATACCTCGAACATTTTCCGTCGTACCAAAGTTGAAGCTCATTACAGTGCCAGAGACAGTCTTATAATATTGTAAGCAACCATTAGGAGCTAAAATAGGTGGGAGACATTTGTTCAAGTATCTCAAGACAATGATAAAAACGCTTGCATACCTCTGCATACAGAATTGCACGCTATTTGCTGAATTCTTATATTCCAGCGTCGATCGAATACGAAATCCGCGTTGGTGTCGACAGATATCGTGATTGGCGTTGCTCCATTAAAATCGATGTATACTGATAATGAATTTAATTAATCTATTTTCCTCAATATCTGTACGAAAATTTCCATAATTATTGTTTTACTTACCATGCTGGTTAGTGTTATCTCCGCATATTCTGGGCACAGTGGATGAACCTCCTGATACAAGAAACACGTCTAAATCGCAAAATCCAGTGGAATTTGGCTGAGCCCAAGTAGCTTCCAGAAAGTCCAGTCGTAACTACAAACATGAGATATTGTAATTATTATAAAGGTTTGTGATTTACTGAAATTAACGCACGGTATGGGAATATTACCTGACATATATTAGGATTACAACGTTGCACTGTGATCGAACAGCGTTCTCCACCTCGATAAGTGATGGGGTAATTTGGGCTTACAAAATATGTGTTATTCATGTTGGTGGTGGAGCCGCAAGACTTTTGAACTGTCGAAAAGTATATCTATTTATTTTAAAATTAATAAATTGTAATTTATAATTATCGTTTATTATAAATTATAATTTATAATTATCGTTTATTATAAATTATAATTTATTTTACAATCCATATTTCTTTTATACTACTTACATACGCAACAAGTGCCCAATCTATTAGCGCACGATCCCGACGGGTTACCTCCGTAATTAATACATTCTCGTCTCGTGAAGCATGTGCCATTAAGTTGATCGATGCTTGACAAGCACTCGGAGTTGGGAAAACGCACAACGCTGAATAGCGGGAAGACTGAACAAAGATACATCAAGATAGGTACGTCGTTTTAAATATATATATATTTGAATGACATTCATTATTTTTTAAATGACTTACATCTTGCCTGATGATTGGAATGGGAATTAAACGATTCGATTTCCAAAACATTATCTCTTAAGGATTGATTGAAATTAGTAGTCCGAACACTTATGACAAATAGGAGAGTAAAGTAGCCAACTAAGAGTATACTGATCATGTCTGGAAGTGCGACTGATTTCGAGATATATTCTGGCTCTCAAGAGAATGCTAGTAACGGAATATATGTACACAAATGATCATCGCAATTAGCACGTAGCCAAATCCTCAGGCTTACTGTTCCTTTAACTGTACAACGCCCGTGAGATATTTTTGTTTTATTTATTCGAATAATACAAAAAAAAGAATACAATTCCTACGCCTTAACAATCAAGTTTGTCACAATTGTTCTGTCGAGTTATGAGTTAACAGATAAAATTAACGAGCAAAATTAAAATTGAACTTTTAATTTTGCTCTTATCTCGTTAATTTTATCTGTTAACTCTCATAATCACTCGACAGAACGATTGTGACAAACTTGTTTATTGTTAAGGCGCAGGAATTGTTAAGCTTGAGTTTTCATCATCACTAGCTAACGAACTAACTAATCTGAGTATGTGGCTTATCTCATAATTGTTGCTGTCGCTATCATTGGAATAATTCTGTGGATATTCCAGTCGTAAATTTTTATTGTCTTTCTTACTTAAAATGTTGCTGAAGATGACTCAAGACAGGAGTCGGAAACGTACGACATCAAGGTGCATAAGTTTAAATATTAAAAAATATATTCGCTAACAATAACCAGCGGCTGACTCATATTACCTGTCATTTTCGTTATAATTTACAATTGTATAATAGTAAATAGAAAAAATAACGCAAAAAAGTTTTATATATAAAAAACAAGTTATAATGTATGTCACAATAGTGCTGTACAAGATCTAATCCTAAATACAGTCTGTCTAGTAAGAGCGTGGCAGGCTTATCTCAAAGAAAAATGGCTTATTAGTCTTAAATTTATATTGATTATTCAATAGAATTATGGCCAAAATGCAATTATATTAATAAGGAGTCCAGTCACCAGCTGCGTCTATAATAGACCACTAAAGTAATCGCATATTCACGTGGCAAAGACCTCCAGATTCGTCGAATTTCATTTTTTAAGCGCTTCGAAGTTGATGCCGGTCTTCCACGAAGCTTGCTCTTGATGAGTGCCCACACATTTTCAATGGGACTCGCATCGAGTGATTGTGAAGGCCAGTGGAGTGTCTCGATGTCATTTCTCTCTTTCCAGGATGTGCAGAGCTGGCTTAGATGTTTGAGGTCATTATCTTCCTGGAGTAACCAATCTTTATTTTTTTTTTTTCCTGATAAATCAGCGTTGGGTAGACGGAAACAAAGTTTTTTGGTATATCTTTAACATTTTCTCAACATTCAGGTTGTCAGTAAAGAGATAAAGCCTGCTTCGAAACGAGACGCGTAGGCAGCATTTTTTGAAAATCGTTTATTTTAACACAATTCAAGCAACAACGGGTACTTGCTTATAATGCATGCAGCACGAAGGTGACCTATTGGCGAAAACAAAAATTCAGAGTATATCTTTACTCGACTGTGGGGGTAAGTCTTGCTACGCTCTTACTAGACAGACTAGTAGAAAGATTGAAACATTTCTAAAATATTTTTATCACGCGATTAAAACATTTCTAAAATATTTCCAATAGTTCAATATGCCTGATCTATAATAAATTTCTAATTTTACATTAGCTCAACCTCATTCAAGTGGTCGCGTTCGGCGTCCGACAGAACGGGCAGTGTCCGTGTCGTAACAACGCTAACTCGTAATCATCTGAATGAAACAACTGAAACATTACATAAAAACATAAAATAAGATTTCGTAAGACTTGATTTTTTAAAATTGCGTTATTTGTTATATACCTTTAAACAGCACTTGCACAAACTGATCTGGAGATCGGGTAAGAGATTCCTAAAGTATCTAGTCTTAAAGGGTTTAGGCCATTTAATAATTATTACGGTAGACGGATCCATACTTTTCAATACTCCTCTTCCAACAGTCACCGTAGAATTATTAGATTTTTCCTATGACAGGTTATTTTTTTTTTAAATAAAATGAACGCTTCGTGCGATCGTACATTCAGTGTTAATTATACCTCGTATTTTAGTAAACGGACAGTGAAGAGATCAGCTTCGTTGGAAGTTATGGTCAATTGATCGCTAGTTGCGAGATCATCAGGAGAAGGTAATGGCTCCTCTATCAATTTCTCCGCTTCCTCGTCTGTGATATCATCTTCCAATTCAAACTCAACTAATGGCAGAATTTCTGTGAACGAATATTGGTTTAATAGTGCTCTAGAATAAATTTAAATTTTTTACGCATTGTAATCCGCTATTTACCGAACATAACGAAGGAGTATTGAAATTTTAAATTGCACTGCGTGCAATTACTACCAGAGACATTATTTGTCGGTAATAACGGATTGAATGTGGAGCATTTGTAGCAAAGAGGCAATAATTCTTCTGGATCACGATACGGATAAGATCTGGCAATTAGAGTCGACGTCTCTATTTGTGCCAAAAGATTCGCGGGGATCTTCATTGAACGTAATTGATCCAATAATTGCATAACTAGCTTGTTCGCGCCTAATATCCGTGCTTGTTTCATTAGACAGTACATTATCGTCATCTTTGAAATGCCTTCTAATCGTATATTTTGCGTCTTCATGAGCAAATATCTCGAAATGTTGAATAACGCCTCTGGCATCAGAGATGTAAAAGGTTTCTCCTAGAATATATTAATGTTATGACGAACACATTATGGGGAAAAATGAAACGTTTAATGTAATACGATTGTACCAGATACTTGAATACTTCGTGATACGCATAATAAATATCCGCTTTGTCGGAATAATTGATAAACATCATTTTTATCTCTTCCACGCTCTTTGATACACACAAATCCAGACTCAACTGCGACAGGAGCCAATAAAAGTAGGAGGCATCGCGAAATCTTTTCTCTATCACAGCGTTGTTAGCCAGCATCGTGAGTACGAGTATGGATTCTTCTGGTTGTCCTGCCATTTGAAATGCTGTAACAGATATTAAATGTTAAACAATAATTAAATCTCAACACTGTGCGTATCCGTTGCGATGTAATGGCAATCTGTACCTTCTTGAGCCTCAGAAAATCGTCCGGTCTCCGCTAACCATCGTGCATACGGCCCGTATATTCGAGACTTCAACTTCGGATTTCTTTCAGCGAGTTCGAAGGCCTCGGGCCACGCTTGTGCATCCACAAGCACGTCTGCAACATCAGGATCGTCTCCTAATCGGCTAAATATCTCCGCCGCGCCATGCGAAGCACCTAGTTGCTTAAGTTTCTTGGCGATCATAGATAGGTTGTCTCTATCCGCCTTGTCCAATTGCCTGCCTACTTTGATTAACATATCGATCCAACCATATTCAGCGATAATACTGATGGCACGGTCGATGTCTCCTGCGGAGAGGAACATCTCGGCTGCAGCGCGCGGTTCACCCAAGCTTTTTGCCCATTCCGCTCGCCGTCGCAATAATACCGTACGATCCTGAAAATCCAAATGAATTGTTAAACCCAATGTTTCATAAATATTATGCAATCATTCATTATTTTGTTTCATCGATATTTTACTTTATTATATTTCTTATGTGCTAATCTTGAGTTTAACATGTTGATTATAACGAACCTGCGTGTTGCCGGAGGCGATAAATTCCTGAGCGATATCGAACATTCGTAAGTCGGAATACATATCCAGAGCGTATTGCTGCAAACCGGCTTTTTGATAGAGTTTTGCTGCGTCGCGAAGTCTCCCCATAGCGGCTGCGGCAGTAGCCATGCAAGCCTCCCGTCCCCATTCGCCCGATTTTAATTTCTCTTCCACTTCAGACACGATTTCTATATAACGTAGTTTCTTTATTCGCGCGAACGCCGAATATGCAATGTTTAATTCTAGATTATCCAGACACGCCGTCCCCAAAGCGAGCCAGTCCGATTCGGCCACGCCTAAGCACGCTATGTCATAAGCATGGTTGTATAATCCGATATCTATATATTGGTACATGAACAATGACAATGGCACCTGTAAATATCAACGTATAATATCATATAAATATAATACGCATATTTTGCTATTTTACTTAATGTTACAATGATTTACCTCTAGTGTTATGATGGACGAACCGTTCAAACAGTACAGCTTCGAGCCGTTGTGTCCTACGACGAAACCGGAGAACTTCTGCCTGTACTCCGAAAAATTCGCAACTTTTATCGCGAGATAATTATTGCCCGCAAAACACATGATATCTTCGAAGGCAATGTTGAACGCGACGCTATTGACATTTTGGAATTCTTGAAGTTTCTCGCCGGTGCATAAATCGAAGACTGACAAGATACCAGCTTCGCTGACCACTGCCATTCTCTCCTTCAAGGAGCTGATGTCCAAGCATCTCACGGCATCCTCGACTTTCGCGATGTGTGCAGGAAAAGGATTGTCAAGGTATATCTTCATTACATGTCCGCTCTTTAATCCTGACATTAACTCATGTTATAAGTGTTGATACATCATAATAAGACAATAAAAGATCTCACACTAATTATGTAGAAAATAGGACCCGAATGAAATGAGTTAGTTTTAACATATGATATAGCTTATGATGTAGTGAAGAAGAAAAATTATCATAGATACAAGGTTCAATAGAATTTTTGAATATAGTGTAACAAAGGAGTAAAACTTAACATACGTTCACAGAACAGTTGATATTTATAGATAAAAAATTATCCATTATTGAATCTTGTATTTACATCTTCTATTTATTACATTATTATAAGTTACATTATATGCTTCTATATAAAAACTAAATCGTTAACTAATTCACAAACTAATTCATTTTACCGAGATCCAATTTTTCATGTATTTATCATATATATTTTCATATATTTATAATTTCAATATTTAAATATTAAATCTTATAGGATCGTACATGTAAGAAACACCAATAAGAAATTATCTTTAATGGTCGCGCTGGATCTTAGATGCTTACTAAACAATACTTTGAATTCACACAGAATTATAATATTATCTAAGATCCAGCTCGACCATTAAAGACAATTTTATAATTTCATATATTTTTTTTATAATTAATGGAGAATCTTTTTTTTATCAAAATTTACCAGCTATTAAACATTCCTGTCCGGCGGGACCACCCGCCACTTTGATGTAAGTGATAAGTCCATCGAGTATCCATTCTCTTTCTATTATCCCGGTGAACGAGAGACTCTGTAAACGTCTTTCCAGACACAAAACTAAATGATTCGACGTGACAACTAATAGATTGCAGTTCACCGTCTGATTAAGTTTGTCTCGTATTCTGTAATGCATTCCATCGGTACCGGACGGTTCGTAAATGATTACGCGCTCAGGTAATTGTACAGCTAATCGATTTCGATACACCGCGATCCGGCATACCTGAAATAGAATATACGCATTTGAACGTAATAACACTGTTCAATCTTTTATTTTTTTAATTATTTCTTACAATTTTTTTTAATATTATACTTACCAGATCTTTACATTTAATTCGAACTTTTTGATTCGTAATCAGATGTTGTATTATCACATCGGTCATATTCTCCCTGTATGCGTATCTATCGCCGTATAAACCGTGCACGATGTTCCAAGATAGCTGTAGATACGTAATCGTTCCGTCTTGGGAACCGAGTGCCTGCAAAAAGCATTAAATAACAAATCATTAAGATAAGTAATACCATAAATAATATTTCATAACTTATGTGTGGCAATCTTACAATATGTGAGGCAGTCGGGTGAACAGCACAGCTCCATACCCACGACGAGAAGGTACCACCAACATTAACTAACTGTATGCCCTCATGTGTCATCAACAGACATTGTTTATTACTACCGCAAACGAGGAGATATTGGCCTTCTGGGAAGTGAGTGATTTTAAGTGGTGTAAAACTGAATGATCTCTCTCTTCTGATAGCTTCCCCACCGATAGTATAAAATGAGATGACTCCATTCCATTCAGCAATGCACAGAACATCCATAGCATCGTCCCTAAGTATATAAATAAAACGTTCTTATTTCTTCCGTCTTTTAATTAGCTGTGATATTTTTAATTTTTATAGGATTATAGGTACTGTAAAGGATTCCATGATAAACTCCAAATTGGTACTCCAAGTTGCCGTTCAATGCGTGTTTTTTCCTCACCATTCTGAAAAATGCAGAATATAAATAAGCTTGTTAGATTAGATAATTTAAAATAATTTAAAAATACATTATATGTACATATATATATTACTAGATATATTAAAAATTTATTATATTTAACATTAAAGATATACTTAAAAAAATATTAATGTTTAATTATATAAAATTTAAAAAATTATATGGACGAAATGAGTAATATACTTTATTTCTTATGGATACATATCCATTTGCAAGACCAAGGGCCAAGTATTGTCCATCTCTTGTCCACGCACAGCAATTGACTCTTCCCCCAGACTTATGTTTCTGTACAGCTTTCTGTTCCGCAGACCAAAATGCGATATCTGAGAGCGAACAACTGAGAAGCTGATGCGAGACGGGATTAAAATGCATCGACTGTACAGCTTCATTATGTCTAAATGAAGAAAAATTATGGGAACAAAGACTCGCATTTATTAAAGTTATAAATACATGACTTACGAATATTTTAAAATCCCTTCCAGCTTAGAAGTCCAGATGATAACACTTTTGTCTGCACCTCCTGATGCAAACTTCTTACCATCCTTTGCATAACATACACAATATACTGTATCCTTATGCCCTATAAAAAGAATATAATAAGAATATATTAGAAGAGTATAGAATGTATTTTAAGTGTTGATGTCTTTAAATAATCACCTTTTAATGGTTGAATTAAAGCACCATCATTGGTTTCGTACACAAGGACCTGATTACCAGAAGCAACAACTAATTGTGTACCATCTGGATTGAAGCAAAGATCATATATACTGAAATAACATCACTTTACTATATATTTGTAATAAGCGATAATGAGAGAGAACAAAGAAATAATACATATTAATAAATATTAAAATATGTGAAAAGAAACGCTGTTTATCTTAACAGATACTTTAAGCCTTGTGAAACATAGACAATAAAATATAAAATCAAAAACATATTTTTTTCCATTTATATTACAAATGGCTAACAAATTGCACAATTAGAATTGTATATATTGTTCTTATATAATTTTATTGCTTGTTTCATAAAGACTAATAGAGCAAGTTATGTTTCATATATTATAACATTTCTTAGAATTTTTATTTTTTAAGTTCTTAGCATGTTTACAAAGATTAATTTATAATTTTTGAGAGACAATTAGTTTTACCATTGATCTGGCTTTTCTTGCACTTTGTCGACCCATGCTGGATGTGCTCTCATTGTGTCACATTCAGCACAGATTGTCTAATACTATTGTTAGATCAACAATGATCAACAATATTATTCTATGTAACAGAATTCTGTTTGGCGTTCACACAGTTACTATGGTAACGGATGGGTGAAATGTAGATAATTTCTTTTCAGAGAATGTATGCTGCTATATCGAATGTTGTTAAAAATGGGAGCTTATTCAACAAGTTCGTCCTTTATGAGCAAGAAAAAGTGCAATACTTTTATAGGGTACTATATTATTTTTGTAATACATGCAATTACATTTTGTAATCATAGAATAAAACTAAAGTCTAATTCCTATATACAGGGTGTTTGAGAAGTAATGAAAAACTTTCTCACATTATAGGGATAGAAGGGACTATAAACTTTAAAATTTTCGTAATAGTTAACACGAGATATTATAATTTATAAAAATATCTAAATTCATGCCTTATCTATCTGATTTGCTTCATTTTCTTTATCCGACATCCTATTTTTCTTATTATGTCGCATTTTATATTTAACCGTATGTCACCACGTACCACGCGATGTTTCATCGTTTTCTGTTTCCCCGAGATAAAAGTTGACGAACTTTTCACATATTATTCTGTTTGCTAATAATCTCTATTATCTCGTATTTTCTTTAGCGTGTTGGATCGAGCCTGAAATATCGTCGATGTGTTATCCACCGAAAGATATTAATAAAGTTCTGTGTGCATATAGAGCTGTACCTATAGAGGCGCTAGTAGACAGGTGCCATTTAAAATGCTTCTCTGTTCTCAGTGTTCAGAATGTATGAGTGTACAAAATGTTGATACTTCTCTGTGATTTTTGATTATTCTGATTTTACCAGATGTGTGCAAGATTAAACTATAGTACGCGATAGCGACGATAATACATACGTATGTAAATCCGGTGTCGGTGGTACCGAATCATTCAAACGGAGTACTTCGTGTATTGTTATTAGACAACTGTATCACCCATCTAGTCAGAAACAAAAGCACGAAAATGAGTAATTCAACTATTTCGGATCAATCACTGATGGACAAGTCGATGCGAAGTGTCTTCGGTGAGTAATTTAATGCACCAGCTTCGATGCCGTTCCTTACAGTTATATTAATGTTACATCGCAACGTCTATTGGTTTACAGTCGGGAATATCCCGTACGAGGCTACAGAGGAGAATCTGAAAGATATTTTCAGCGAAGTTGGACCAGTGCTTTCATTCAAGTGAGCATATTTTCCGTAGTTCGTCTTTAGTTATTAATTATATTAAACAATTTATTATTATCTTAGAATCTTTTGATAATACCTTTAAACATTTCTTGTTATTTTAACAGCCAATTTTAAAACAGTACACTGCTCTCTCTGAGAAAATAATTTGAATTTTATCGATATTAAATCATCTGGAATGCTTATAAAAGAATTTCTTTGTGATAATTAAATATATAGAACATAACTTTATTCATTATGTTTCATATTATTATTTTTCTATTAAAAACATATTTGACTCGTAAGTTTTATCTGACTCTGTTTTTTTTAATAATCGCTCTAGTTTTTCTATTATATAGGTGGCATTTGTATTTATCTATGTACTTAATTGTTGCAAACAGATTAGTATTTGACCGCGAGACAGGCAAACCCAAGGGATATGGCTTCTGTGAGTATAAAGATCAAGAGACAGCTCTAAGTGCTATGAGAAACTTAAATGGATACGAGATTGGTGGACGAACATTACGTGTGGATAATGCTTGTACTGAGAAAAGTCGTATGGAGATGCAAAGTCTCTTGCAAGGCCAGAACACAGAAAATCCTTATGGAGAAGCAGTTCAGTCAGATAAGGCGCCAGAAGCAATAAGTAAAGCTGTAGCGTCCTTGCCACCTGAACAGATGTTTGAACTGATGAAACAGATGAAACTTTGCGTTCAAAATAATCCGAATGAGGCACGTCAAATGCTCCTGCAGAATCCCCAGTTGGCATATGCTCTGCTCCAAGCACAGGTGGTTATGAGAATAGTGGATCCTCATACAGCTGTCAGTATGTTGCACAAAGCTAATCCTATCCCAGGTGTATTGACTCCGTCGGAGAAACCAGTCCAGCAAGTACAACCGCGAATCGAGGAGCCATGGGCACCACGACCTCCACCACCTATTAATGCCCCAGCGCCCATTTTTGCAGGTACGACGAGTCCATTACATGTTACAATATTAATTATTATTTAAGCATTACATTAGTAATTACTCAGAGAGATATGAAGAATTGTGTTATAAAATTTTGAGGTGTATTCATCCACTTTTTCTAAAGTTGACCCATTCGGCTATGGAAATTGATGAATGAATACTATGTTTTATTCATCTTATTATTTGTCATGTACTTCATCTGAATCGTGAAGTCTCCATTGTCACAAATGGACAGGGAATATAAATGTAAAAATTCAATCCGTAAAAACAGGTCAGGACGTAGATCTCCGACTAGAGAGACAGATAGATCCGTGTGTAACTAGGAAGAATCAAGATTTGAGAGGATCACTGGACAAGGAATTTAAATTAAAAATTGAATCCGTAAAAACAGGTCAGGACGTAGATCTTCGACTAGACAGGCAGATAGATCCGCGTGTAGCTAGATTGGATCAAGATTTGAGAGGATCGCCCCAAACACAGCCTACATCAGTCAGCGCACCGGTGATACCGATCACTGCCGATCCGAGGGGGGCAAATACATTTAATATAACGGACAAGTAAGTACACTTCACATTAATCAATATACATGAATTCGATCATGAACTGCATAATTAAAAGCGCTCTTTTTACAGCCTTCTTCCTGTGGAAGGAATTGAGAGGTCTTATATATACACATATATATATATATATATATATATCTTAATAGATTTAATCATTGTTTCTTATACTAAATCGACATTACTTTCAGTTTCTATCGCGATCCGAGATCCGACAGATTTGGCAGAGATTCAAGAGATCTCAGAGATTCTAGAGGACCCATTGATCCTAGAATCACAAAATCTACTCGTATGTAATTTTTTCATTTTTTATATATTTGTTCTTTGTAAGTCTAATGGCTTTATGTTACAAGTCGAAGACCACTATTTTGTTTTTAACGACAATATCGATGTCGTATTATCGTAGAGTTACAGAATAGAGACCTAACGTCGGTTCTTATTTCAAGATTGTCTTAAGACGCTAATGCCCTCTGATTGATTCGTGACATCTTAAGACTGAACTTAAGACAAGAACTTGAATATAAGAAATAATTATGAATATTGACCTAAGATTAATAAACATTTCTTCTAGATAAATTGAACGCTAGTGGATTTTTGTTTTTCAAAACTTTTAGCGACTCCTGTTGCGCCGCCGATTGTTCCGAGACCAGTTGCCGCACCAACTGTTCCAGCATCAAGTACCGTAACTAGCAACACGACCGGCTCTTCTATTACTGCACTTTCGCAGCCTGCGAGTTCTGCAACTTCGAGGCTAGTGGCCGGGATGTCTCCAGCGGGAAGTATTCCCAGCGGTGCGTCCGATCAGGAAAAGGTATATTTTAAATATTTTCATTGAAAAAAATTTATCATGTTTTTGTTGTATTTTTTATTTGAAATTGCTTCCAAAGAATAGTAATTCTTAAACAAAATAATATTATAATCGTGATACACGTTTAAAAAAATAATATTAAAAAAAAAATATATAATCCATATGCATAAGAAACTTTGTGAATTTAATTAAATATATTAACTCACAATAGTCAAACGTAAATCTAAATCATTAAATTTATTGTTGCTGTTGTCCTAGTAGTTGATTATGGTTATACATATAAATAAATTATATATATAGCTATTCTGTATTTTAAATAAATCGTGAATTTTTTTCACAGGCAGCTTTGATAATGCAAGTATTGCAATTGTCAGATGAGCAAATTGCAATGCTTCCACCTGAACAGAGGCAAAGTATCCTAGTGCTAAAGGAACAGATCGCAAAAAGTACACAACGTTAAGTTAACGCAAAAAACGTTAATGTATAAAAAATAACGCTAATGTAAAATCTCTAATGATTTTTGCACACAGAATGCGGCAATGTTTGGAGCAAGATTTCATCAAGGATGACAATTGGCGCGATACCGCAATAATTCTTTCGTTTTTATAGAAAAGCTTTTGTAGAACTTTGCTATTTTATGCCAACTTTCGCCGCGCGACAAATATTTCTGCGTCTTGTGTGCAGAAATCACCAGAGTTCTGAATACAGTATGTATCAAACGCATACGATGGATTTCTATAAATTTGTAATAAGATCTTACAAGGACAAGAGTACATTTCTCTCTTATTTTTAATATATCTTGTTCTATTTATACATAAACAAATAAACTATGAAAAAATACATTTCACAGTATTGAATTCTTTTTCAACTTAAGGCTCCTGAGCAACGACATATAATGATATCGACATTGTCGTTAAAAGTTACAGAATAATTGAGTAGTTATAACGGTTATATTGAATCCGTAGAATTAAAATGATCGTGACGTCAGAAGCGAGAAATGACGTTAATTTGTAAATAAGTTTATCCAAAAATATTAGGATAAAATGAAATTATGAGATCAACAATTGTAAAAATGGATGAAAGGCTTTCTTATATTCCCTGACAATCAATAAATAATCATTTAAAAAGTGTGTGTGAAGTACTTTTATTCAATACATATGCGTAGCCTATTTTTACTTACACATGCCTTTTTTTAATCACTTTCTACGATTATTTACTGACTGTTAGGGAAAATAAACATAGTTTTCGCCCATTTTTTACAAATGTTTTAAAGCAATCTCATCGTTTTGTTTTATCTATATTGTCTTTATTTATCAAGGTAACAAAAATTAACATGTCATTTCTCGCTTCTGACGTCAGGATTCAATATAACTCAGAAGCCTTAAATCATACAAAACGTCATAAATCATATGAAATAAATGTATGTGATTTAACTTGAAATCAGTCAAAGAATTAACGCTAATCCTTCCAGTCTTCCATAGGATTAAATTGATATAAACCTTCTTTTATTAAATCAGCATAAAATAGTTCTGTACACGTTTTATCTTTATATATTTCGACTACCACATGGTTGCCCTCAACAATTTTCTGTAATAATAATTAAGTATTTTTATGTGAGCTTCAAATATATATAAATGAATTTTAAACGAATTTATTACCTTAACTTGGGCCACAGCTGCTTGATTATAAATTTCATCTAACTTTGATGCTAATAAATCAATATCGTTAGAGACGAAGTTTAGTCCCCAAAATGTGCATTTGATAGCCATAGCGGGCAATTCCAGCCATTCCTCTTTCGGTACACGTAAATCGTAGTTTCTAGAATATTTTATTTTTGTATCATTATATATAAATATATCAATAATATAAAATAAATCAATATAAAAATCTTTTAACTTACTCGGAGTCAATGTCCGTTGTATGTAACTGTATGTACTCATGATTACCATAATCAACGTAAAATAATGAAATTTTCATGTACTGAGTGTTTAAAATTTGTTCGCTATTTGTAATGATGCATCTATACCACATATTATCAGAAAATTTCGCGATGCACGGGGTATCTAAAAACAATGATAAAGTAAATACGTGTCATTGAACGAATCATTTACCAATTAAATGATGCATAATTTTATTTATCTTATTAAAAATAATTAAAAAATTACTTTTTACGAAAGATTTGATTAATGGTTGGTGATAAGCATCAGTTTGCATTTCTGCCATTACGTTTTCATATTGTAAGTAATATTCATGAAGCTCCTAAAAGACAATAAATAAATTAGGCGCTGTTTATGTCAGATATATCAATAATTTTTGTATGCTTACATTAGAGAATATATCGTCGTTATTTTCTGCTAGTTGTGCGAATGAAGTAATGGGATCTTTGTTACAACATAATGTTAATTCAATATATTTCGTATTCTGCGGAATGATCAATCGTTTGTATGAGATGATATGATCTTCTTCCTCTGGCTGCGGCGTTGAGCAAATTATATGCGCATTTAAAATATTCGTGTCTATCGAGGATATACTTTCAGTATCGGAAATCATGTGCTTATTCTTTAATTTAGTTGGTAAGTCTGTCTTTGCAACTTCTACTAAATTACCGCTAATTACATTCTCGTTTAATGTAATATCCTCTATGTTTGTCTCCAAAGATTTTTTGGAAGCTTCAGTTATATTTAGCTTTTCATAGTCATTTATTGTGTCTTCAACGATAACATCCCTGGTGGTGTTCAAGGTTTTTGAATCTTCATCATTTTCGGAATCGTCCGAATCATTCCACGATTTACGTTCGATTTTAATACTCATATCCATGTGATTTGAAAGGTATATCAGAAGGTCACATTTCCACGGTCGCAATAAATTTATAGATACCTATGAGCATGATGATATTGTATATGCATAATATTATTACAAAATTATATTAAAATAATTGAGGACATCACAATAGAGATTGAAATTTATATTCGTAAACCACTATTAACATTGATACAACTTACAATTATATTTGTAGCTTGACGCTGTAAAATGGACACTTTGAATTCCTGATCAACGAGAAGGGCGTGTATGCGGTCTAAATCGTGCAACATCCATTTACCATTCGGAGATGCCTGTTGTACAAACACAAGGAAAGATTTTGAAAAAAGTTGCAAACAAACAGACTTATGCAAGAAATTAATATTGCCAAAGAAAATCCTATTACCGGTCTTAGTCCGCTGATGATGCACTTTGTGCACTGAATAGGAATATGTCCTAGTCTAACGTCATCCGTAACATGTTCTATTTCACAGTCTTCCACATTGCCATAATCGACAAATTCCACCTTACATAGATCACACAATCGTGATATAGAAAACATAATCAAGAAAAAGTAATGCAAAAAAATAATAATTAAAAATAATTATTTTTTACCTGTACTACATTTCCTACATTGTTGACAATTCTGCCTCTATACCACTTCTGATTATAATGATATTGAGCAATACATATGTCTCCTTCTTTCCATATTTTCTCTTTGTTTATTTTAACTTTCTCATAATAAGTTTGCAATTCGGTCTCTATATAATGCAATAATTCAGCATCTAACAAAAATATAATGATAAAAATAATAGCAACATATTTTTCGAATAATTAAAACTATTTTTTAATATTTCCTATTTATTAAATTTTAAAACTATTGTTCTTATTGCTATAATATAAACGGCATAGAGATATAAGCATAAATCAATGTGAAATTCTAAAAAAATTAGAAAAAACTGTGTAATAATGTCTAATACTATATAACCAAAAGACAACGTACTATATTTTTTAGGATGCAAGTACACAGCGCATTGATTATCCACATATGTTGCTATAGCATGAAATACTTCTTCCGTTATTTCAGTCGGTGGTAACCAGTCTGAAAACTTCACTGAATTCTCACGATTTGCCGAATTGCAAACTTTGTATTTAGTATCGAAAGCTGAAAGAATTAAAACATTCAAAAATTGTAGGTTTAAACTTGTCAATCTCGATTGCTTACGTGATATCAGGATATCAGAATCGAATTCATCTTCAGTTAGATCTTTGTTCAACCATTTGACTTCTTCTTCAGTCGTTATACCCCAATGACTAGTCTCCAACTGCTGTTTAAATTCTTCTGCGAGAATTGAATCTGCCTTTGCAAAGTAGCTATTGAGTTGAATTAAAAATTATGATTTAAACATTGCATACAAATTAAGGGTCTTTTTTTTATGAACAGATTAAATATTGAATTAACTTACTCTTTAATGGGCAAAGCAACACCCTTCTCCACCAACATTCGGTTGATAGAATTTATTTCTATTTTAGTTGGTGCTAACGGTCCTGGTATTTTGGATTGTTTTACCCAAAGCTCGACAGGTATTACGTTATCAGAAAATTCTTCCAGAACCTTAATATACACAATACAAATAATTACATTTTTATATTTGTAATTAACATTCAGTAATTACAATTAATGTTGTTATTTTTATATAATTTTTATAAAATAAAAATGTTTTATTTTAGACAATATAATCTATGTCAGAATTCAGGATAAAATTTTATTTTTATTCCTGTATGTATGTTATGTATGCATTTTGACATATATGTTTATGTATACATATATCATTATATATATATTGTGTATATATTTATATATAAACATATGTAGCAATCAAAATATTTGGCATAAGATTACAAATGGAATTTATTATATAAGGTGATGCTTTTACAATTCCTCAAATTCATAAATTTTTTTAGTGTAAAAGTAGAAAAAAGATATTTCTTACCGGCTTAGTGATATAAAACTTGCAGTACGCATTATCTTGTATAATCTCGGATAGTGTTGTACAGGATAACGATGGCCATGTGGATGATCCGCCGCATGGTAAAATACCGGCTAGTTTCACCTTAAAGCAGTACGTCATTTCCTTCGCGAATTCTGAATGAAGAACTTGTATGTCCTTCATTGTCACAATCTCTTCGATGCCCATGTCATAGAGATAGACAAGCACATCTGTAGAGGATTTTATTTTCAATATTTTTGCACGGAAATATGACTTGTCCTTTGCGGAATACACGGTACACAATGCGCCTTCGCTCCAATTATCGCGTGGTTCGGAATAAAACATATCGTAAAATTTGTGCATAGCCGATAACAGTTTCTGATTCTCTTGTTCATGTTCCGTTTGTGCAACGTAGATGCAATCCGGTGTGATCACCCGTTGAATGGACACTTCCACCTTAAATGCATCTTCTTCTTTCACAGATTTATCATTTTCTATATTGTCGTACGAAATACAAAAGTCTTTAACGGTATTATTATCGGATTTCTCCAGTAGTGAAACATTAGTTTTAACAGTCGATCGTGATTTCTTTTGTAATTTGCTCTTAAATTTGTTCCTTTAAAGAAATAAAAGAATCAATAAGTCAAGCATCTCATATACATGTTTTGAAAATAAAGCATATACATGTTTTTGAAAAAATGATTTTTATATAAAAAAAATTGTATCTTTGATGTGCTCACATTATATTATAATCGTTGACAACGCCTGCAATTTTTAACTGCCGACTGACGTCGATGTTATCACTATACATACATCCACTGTACCCGTCCTCTGTTTTTTTTCGAGGATTCACCATGATACATTTAGTGTTATTGAAGAGATTCAGCAAAGTTATTATAGCTTCCTGTTTCCATGTTCCATTGTGTTCAGGCATTATATACATTAATGACATCCTTATGGCCTAAATCAAACGAGAGAAAATGATAATGTCATTCTGTGCACAGAAAAAGGCTCGACTTACTTGCGCCTTAAACATGGTATATTCATGTGGAATTATTCGTAATGCATCGCGATCTTGAATCAAAGTACATCCCCAATCTACACAAAATACTCTGACTTGATGTTCACTAATTATTTCAGTAATTTCACCGCGTTGCCAGGTATTGTCTTCTAATTGTATAGCGCATGGTAAACCTATAATAAATTTAAATTATGATAGAAATTTAAGTCAAAATTTTTACAAGGAAAGCATTTGAAAGATATATCGCACTTATAAATAGAGAATAATATCAATTCTTTCTAGTATTTCAAATGTTTGACAAATTCTTAGTGATGAAAAAAAAACTTAATCTTTTTCAATTTTAAAATAATTATGTAATTAGGAGAAAATCTTTTATTAAAATTAAATATTTTTAATTATTATAATATATAATATCTTAATAAAATTTATGGCTAATTAATATTATCAATTAGTTATAAAATTATCTCGCTTATTAGAGAAATATCTAAAATTATACAACTAACCTTTCTGTGGTGTTTCAATAATTTTCGCTGAAGTTTCATTTGCATAATACTCATTTAATTCATTTTTTAACTTCAAAAATTTAGTTTTTCGTGTAGCCTAAAAAAATCCATAAAAATATAATAATATAAAATATTAAAAAAACTTCTCAAATTTTTTTCTTTCTAATAAAATTATGGAAAAATGCAAAATGTAATAATGTGATTGTAACTGTTTACTTTGGAAACATAAATCTTGTCTGGTGATTCAATCCAACCAATGTTAACTACTATCGTTTTATTTAACAAAAGTTCTTCTTTATTATAAACGTAAGTTTTCAGTGAAGGCTTCTGAAAAAAAAAATACAAACATGTGTAACAAAATAAGAAAATATATAATACAATACAAATGTTCAATACAAATTTATTTGATTTTCTAAAACAATTTGAGTATTGGCATAACAATTGGGCATACGACAGGGGAACTTTATAGTAGTATTAGCTCTAGCATTGTAGCATGTTGTAATAGTATGATACATATATGGGTTTTCGAATCTGCTTACTGGACTTGGCTGAGTGTCCAAACGTGCATAATCCATAATTTTCATAGTGCTACACATCGACTGTGGACCCGTCTTACTATTTTTTGGATGAACACAAAGATCGACGTATAACATTTCAGGGGTGGATTTGATAATGGACATCGTGCAGTTGCTGTAACGTAGAACATTTTTTCCAATAATTAATGGAGACAGTCACACTTTCCTAGTACACACAAGGTAAAAATCGTAGGATCGATTAATGGCTTACACTCCGCTTGTTAGTTTCATGAAGTCATTCGTGCTTGCATTCGTCCAATGCATATTTTTAGGCTTCAAGCCATTTAAACAGCAACGAATCGCTTGTGGTGGCAGCGTTTGCAAATGTTCAGCTATTTCTCGCACTCTAGAGGCCCCTATGTTGCATTCCTCGTATCCATAGTCTATATAAACCACATTGTAGGATAATCCGCCGTCGTTATTTATTATTACTGTATTCACGTGCCCACGATACCACTCGTTGACTTTCCATTGTTTCACCATGCACATGTCATCTGTTAACATGAAAAATGATGAAAAAAACGATCGCCTGTCTTTCAGTTGAAATAAGAAGTTCGTTTTTAGCCATCTAAAATATTTCCCGAGCTGAGATTCTGTACATACATGGTTATCGAAAATTGTCGATAACCAACAACAAAAGCTAACGACTGCATTATGCAGAAAAAGCAGCTTTAGAACTGTGTAAAATCCTTTAATACGATTGGTCTTGCCAAACTAAGAAGTTTCTCACTGGATCTAATAGCGGTTTTTTTGGGATATAATGAATGTAACCTTGCATTACACCAATTGCGTGTAAGTGCTGCACTAGTACACTAGTGTATACATCATGGTATACACTATTTCATGCTATCATGTTTAATCCTGCTGCCGGTTGACTTCCATTTTCAAATTTTAAATATTACACTGGTTCTACACTGTCCTTTTGAGATAGTGTAACAAAATTCCACTATACGTGCATAAAATTTGCACTACACTATAGTTACAAAAACACATTATATTAAACACGTTATATTGAATAAGTTTGTCTATCACCAACTAAAGAAACACGCTGTACTAGCTGCGTTCGGTAATGCAAATCTGAGGCGTCGGAGTGCTCTTTTTCTATAGTGCACATGACATATGCTACAATATAAGAGCACTCCGACGCCTCTGACTTGCTATTACCGAACGCAGCTACTGTCCGAGTGTTGCACTGGTGGGCGATAGTGCAGCCAACAGAAAACGCTACAAATGTATAAATCAATCGTATTCAAAAATTTTACAACAGTTTCAAAGCTACTTTTTCTGCCAATGGCTGCGTTCAGCAGACTTAACAGTTTTGCAACCGTTTTATGATTCGTCTCGCTGATTGGATTATATTTTTAGATCTAAAGGAATAGTCCTCCGCGAAGAATCATAAAACAATTGTAAAACTGATGAGTCTACTGAATGCGGTCAATGGCAAAGACAATCCTAGGAAAAAAGCGCGGTTCTTATTGGTTGTCACTACTTAATGATAAGTGTTGATAGATGTGAATACAGAATACGGGCCCTGTGCACTCTCTAAACTGGTGTAATAAGTTGAAATGAAATAAACGTATATTTACAAAAAAAAAACCAAATCTTTTGTTACACGATTTATTTGTCTTCTTTTCTTTCCACATTAAGGAAAAAAAAAGAGAAACAATGAACGGTGCAAAAAGTTGAGTTAAAAAGAATAGGTCTAATATTATCGTTAGCGATCGTAATATCGTACTTTGTTTGATATGGATCAGGTTCTTTAAATTCTCCTTGTCGGTTCCGTATGTCATTAGGGCTTTCTCTAACTGTAGGAATTTTACTTTCATGGCCACTTTTCGGACAAAGAATAACGACGGATTAACAACGTATGTCACCTCCACCTTGCACTCAGGAATACCTTGAAAGAGAAAGAGAACCAGTTAGATGGAGAACTAAGAATTAAAAAAACTAACTTACTTTCTTTCTCTTTATCTTCCATCTCGATGGATGTCATTAGTGATTCATCAATATCCGTTTCTGATTGTAATATCGGTCTCATTATTGCTTGACTTAGTTTTGCTTGCGGACTGATAGGGTTAAGAATCTCTGTCAACAGTATTTCATATCATTTACCTGCATTTTCGATTTCGCACAAATTATGTAATTGTATGATTTAAGTAAAAATTTTCGTTGACGAATTCTCAAGAATTATCTAAAAATAAGCTCTATTAACCTAATAGCACCACGTTTTTTTTTCTTTTTCAAAACGGCACAGAATAGAAAATTTTTAATGGTGGTAAAAATTAGTACAAAATAAGTACTAAAAATTCCGATTTGATTTTGTTGATTTGGTCCTGCTAGTTTTATAGAACTTTTAAAAATAATGTATTTCACACAGTCTGACAATGAGCAAGTCGACAAAGTAACCTAGCCTGCTTACTAAATGAACGAACATGTGATTGGTATTTATAGATCCAACTAATCACATACAATCGCTCGGCAAACAAACTAGCAGCATTATCCGACTTGAGAACGCGTCCAATATCACTATTTAAGCGATTTACAAGGACACTAATATTTGTGTTCATTTTTCAATCTTTAAAATCAAAACAAGTTAATGTGCCGAACTGTAATTGGACCGCGTGGAATCTCGAGACGAAACTGAGAAACGAAAGCCGCGGAGACGGCTGAATTGGATCGTGTGAAGCAGATACATTCTGACGAGCATATGAAACTGTTAAGTACCATGAGACTACAAATTAAAGACGGCAATAAAACATCGAGTCTCTTGAGTAGTGTATCTTATTATTTTAACACTTTTATGAAAATAATAATCTATTAAATCTATTGAAAACATTGCCTGATAAAATTTATTTAAAAAAAACTATTTTTTAAAAATTAAAATAAAAATTGAAAATCCAAAGGTGAGAATATATCTTATTTTTGAAGAAGGCATTCGAACTGCGATAAAATTAGTATTCTCACTTGTATGTGGTTTCTTCCGTAAAGGCGATGTTATGTAACTTTCCGGTAGCTCGTCTTTTCGTAAAAGACTGTAGAATGACGTTGGTGGCACTGCAATTCTACAGTGATCTTCTATGGCTCCAACGATAGAGTCATCGATGGTAAATCTATTAAAGAAATAAACTATTACATTAGCAAACAAACTAATACCGTTCGATAAATTAAATTTATATAAAGAAATAGCTCAAATAACTAAGAATTAAATATCAAAATAACGTTTGTTTACAGAATATTTGAAACCGTTAATTTACTCGTAGCTTTTTATTGTAATATTTGATTCTAATATCACAATAAAAAACTATGTTTAGATAATCGTTCGCGCTACATGTGATCGTACACGAAGAATAGTGAAGAAATAATGGCCTGAATATGAATTTCGATAAAAAGACAGTCAGTAACATTCAAGTTATAGTGAAGGACTGATTGTGCGCGAGTCAGCAGCAGAAAGAATTTCATACATGCGCGAGTCAGCGAAAAAAGTCCTGAGACAGAGTTCTTCTAATTCTAATTAATTCGCTTTTCATTACTTACGTTGCTTTCTGGTTCTGGCCTAAGTCTTTGTACATCAGATAGCAAGGAAGATCTGCCATTTGCGTTAAAATGTTTATTGCGTTTTGTATATCCACCTTATGGAAGGTCTGCTTCGCATAGGATGCTATCTACAAACAAATGTCATTTAGTTCAACTTATGCCTGTTTCCACCAATGCAGATTAACTTTAATCTCGGTTTAACTTACTGTTTATCTTTTTCTAATTTTTAGAATTGGAAAAAGATGAAGAGCAAAAATTGAACCGAGATTAAAAATTAATCTGCATTGGTGGAAATGGGCATAAATTGGCCATTTCAAACAATATCTTTTTTTTTATGTAGAATAAATTTAGAGTGACGAATCTACATTTAATTGAGAGGTGTTTTGCTGGATTTATTTCTATTGCATCTATTATTTAATTATAAATTATTTAATTATGAATTATTAACTAAGAATAGTCCTAATTATATTCATCCATTACATTTCCTTCTCCACAAAATTCTTTTGTTTTAATTCTAGAAAATTAAAATTAATTATGAAAAAAGCCAATTATATAATTTAAATTTCACAGAATCATTAGAATAACAAAGTAAACGCATGACTTAAAGACAGATGAATTTCCAACGTCTATAATGCTTTATTTCTGACAATGAGTGACGTACCTGTAATGTCAACCTCAATGTTTCTTCCTGCGATCGAAGTTGTAGTTCGATGTCCTCTAAATTGTTCTTGAGCCGATTACCTTGTTCATGCAGCTCGTTCAACAATTTTGCTTCTATGCTTTGGAGAACGCCGTGCAGATACGCGAAATGTTGGGCCAATGCCGCTTCGATGGTGTCACCATTTTCTAGTTTATATGTGTTGGATGCAAACGCCGATTTTACTTTCTGAAAGAATATCACATACGATCCGTTAATATTATTTTCATTATATCGTGATCTGTTTGAGACATATGTGCAGAAATGTATGATGTATAATTTAAGTAATGAAGGTTTATTCAAGAAATTTTATAAGAGAAAATAAAGAACGAGACATGAAATAAAGTAACAAAATAAAGAATTAAATTAGAAAAAAGAATAGATTTTTACTATAAGAATAGATTTTCAGTATATATAAAATATATAAAAAATAATGCGAAAAGGTAGTTAATTGGCTTTTAGAGTAAAACACAGCATTGCTGTGCGTAGAATATCCACTGAGTATTTAATTAATAATCAAATTGTACATTTGTACCGTAAATGCGGACGTTTCGGCTCAATTTCGAGCCATCTTTAGCGACAGGATTTTAAATTTCTTGTATTACCTCCATCATACCCGAATGGAACATGGTAACGAGATAAGTCTTAGATTTAGTGAGTGAAAAGTGGAGTTTGGAAGTGCACGAGATGTGGAGGAGAGAAGGCGAAAACTTCGATATCTGCTGGTAATGTATGCATATCCATTCGTGCAAATGGCTTGATATATAAAAAAAAATATTATTGCTCCAATGCATCAAAATCGACGAAAGAGGCCGTACTCGCGAGGTACCATTTCTCTCGTGAATTTTCGATCTAAGTTTGTAGAGAAAAATGTCGTTGTTGCCTCAGCAAACTCTCAGGTCGCCGCTTCGTTCGCGCGGAGTAAATCGGCGGAATCAACAAAGTGTACAACATTGTGCACTACCGTAGCTCGCCCCCCTTGGGAGATCCCCCTCATAAATTGCTATCGCGAAAATTTATCATTGCTAATCGGTGACTTTTACACGCTTAATGTGTCTATTTGCATTATTCCTTACTTAATGGCCTCGTAGATTTCCCGAACGTTTTGTATATATCGATATTGGATACAAAATTATCTGATGACGTAAAATATTTATTTTCTGTAAATAATGTCACACTATTGCCTCGTAACTAAGATAGCAGTACATCAATTGCAGAGAATGAAAAACAAACAGTCTTTTACTAAGCCTTATCTAATTATAATTATAATTAATAATATCTAATTATAATTAATAATTGATTTGTTAATTTTTAGTAATAGTCGTAAAATTTCAATAGTCGTATTACATCACAAAAATTGTTAGATTCAAGATTTTGTTCTCAATTACTGAAGAACTCAGTTATTGAGGTAATAATAGTGATATCAATCAGAAAAGGAATAAATATTTTTAGCCATCCTTTAGCAGAGCCTTGTACCTAATAATTTTCAACAATAATCGAATAAACTTCATAAAACTTATTTTTAGACTCTCAAGATTTTGTCTACACTGAAAGAAATGAGTAATTTAGATGCATGGTAAAATATGGCATAACATTTTTAATTGGCTGCTGCAGCAAATTAAAAAAATGCTGTGCCATATTCAGCCAATCTTTTTTTTTTCAGTGTGATAAAAAAATGAATACTTAGTTTGTTTTCTGCTATACATCGGTCAATATTTATTTACTAAAATATTGGCAGGTTCTCTTGTATGATTTAGCGAGCACGAAATCTTTGTTGCGATCGGCGTCGCGTGAAGGCAGAAGGTCGACTCGCATCGTTCTCTCGCCTCGAGGAGGATTCCACCGCGGAGGGAAAGAGAGACCGAGTTCCTCTCTCGTCGGAGCGGAGAGAACGGCTGGGAGAGGCCCGGTGCACACGAGTGGGCCGTTGTGCGAGACTAATATCACTTGGCCAGCACGAGCCTTTCCTCAGTCTTTCACGTTCCGAGCGACCGGTCGCATACCCAACCGCAAAACAGTCGTGAAGTTTCGTTCGCCGGCGCGGGTACACTCGCGTCTCCGTGCCTTCTCCGGTCCGCCGCGAAGCGAATCGACTCAATTACGATGCGTCCGCGATCTTAGGCTCTCCCCTTGGTGCCAACACGGAGGCGCAAGTCACGAGAAGGAAGAGGGTAGAAGTGGACGAGCGGAGGAGATAAGGGATATATAATATGAGGCTCCTCTGCGTGGCGATTGCCATCGTGAGTGCAGCGTTTCTCTTGACAATCGTCTCGGGTGAGTTTCGTCACTTGAACATTCGGGTCGCTTTCAAGCGACCCTGCAGGAACGTTGCTTCCAACGTTCGCCAACGTTATAAAAGATAAAAAGGAATAAGAAAGCTTGGGACAAAATCAATAAAGCTTCGTTTTCTCTTTTAAACCAGCATTTGATTCTTTTTTTAAATTCTTACTAGAAACTCTTCAATAAACACAATTGTATTATACAATATCTAAAATAAGATATGACTGTGATACACAGTCGATATCTATCAGTCTGCTGAAAAATAGCGGCACCAATCAAAATTGGAGTTATTTCGTGACTCTTATTAGAGGGTTTCTATAATTCTTATTAGTCTCATCTTCACTCGTTCAGATTGGTCTACGCGTAATTTCCTTGAGCGTTGAATTATTACAAGAGTGAACGGGCGTCGAAGACGCTCCACGAAGGTCGTAGATGCTCTCCGCGTTCTCTAATTAAACGCGCGTAAACCGTAGACCGATTCACAGACGATGCGTTTTCGTCGGATGAACTTAATTTGCCCCCATCCGCCGCACCGTTCGAGCAAACCGCGCCGATACCTACTTCCCTTCCGGACTACCCTTTGACTATTTGCGTAGTATAATTAACGCCGCGCCACGAAGACGCTAAAGAGAGAAGGAGTTCTCCACGGGCGATTTATCAGGTTAAACAAGATAGTGCCAACTCTCCTTCTAAAGAACGATTCCAGTTACAGATCGTGACGATGCTCGGAACAGCTTTTTACTTCAACGGCACATTTAAACTGTAGTGATTTAATTTCTCAATATAATACATTACTTCTATGTAATAGAATGTGAATAAAAGCAATCATTCTCTTTGTAAAAATATGTTTTTATAGCTGTTTGATACATTCCGAGATAATTTATCACCTCTGTTAAAAATTAATGACTGTGTTCAGCAGAGAAAGCAGTTTTGCAACTGTTGTACAATAAAATTCTTTGATATGATTGGTTTATACATTTAGATGCAGTGAGATACTAAGGGGCAAGTCCAATCATGTTAAAGAAATTTACAATGATTGCAAAGCTGCTTTTTTGCCGGCTGCAGTCAATATTTACAACAATTTGCTGCTATTATGTTAATAACAAGTAAATCTATCGTCCTAGCAAATAAAATCTTACACTCTTGAATAAGAGTGACAAATTTCCATTCTTTTAAAGTACGATTTTAATTTTTTGGAGTAAAATTCATTCCGAAAAAGTAAGACTACCTTTGGAGTGAATCTCACTTCAAAAGAGTGAAATCTCACCCTGCAAAAAAAAAAAAGAGTACAAATGTGCCACTCAAAAGTGCTATTCAAAAGTGGCAGTATTTCTATTCTTTTGGAGTGAAATTTCACTCCAAGAAATTTATGGAGATATCATTTCAAATAGTGATACTTTCAAATCATCTCTCATGTAAGAATTGAAAAAGAACTAAGAAAGATTCTTTTCAATTTGTCACTTTTAGAGACTCGTTCGTGTTAAGTCATCCCGCATTTCCAACACGATCCGAATTCACTGCACGAACAAGTCAGAAAGGCGATAGTTTTGTAACGATAGTTGACTCATCCCAAGGGATATCTAGAGCGATAATCGATGATAAACAAAGAAGATTCAATAGGTGATGCGATGGAAACTCGAGTCGCATACAAGAGCATCGCTGGTCACGATCTTTTCGTCGCTTTTATTTCCGTCGTTCGCGACGGAAATGTTCGTGGACATCGCACAGCTCCCTCTTCTCCTCTCTGCCGTTCCTCGATCTATCTATTTATTTATCTACGTGCTCATTCTATCCTCGATGGCCAAGTATAATGGACAATAAAACGTTTCATGCGATAAAAAGTAATAACCGCACGCGGACGCGCGTGTCGCAAAAAGTCGGCTGGTTAGCGGAAGGTAATGCGTACTTTTTACGCTTTCCTCCCCTCCCCCCCTCGTTATTCTTTCTCTCTCTTTCTCTCGTCTCCCCCTACCCTCCTCCCGACTCGCCCTCTTTATTTTTATCATCCCTTGGGTATGACATCGATCGAACGACCAACGCAAAAGGACGCAGCAAGAGAAAAAAAAAAGGGGAAAAGCTGCCCCGCGTGGAGACTAAGACCGGAACACGTCAACGGGATGGGAAAGAATGGAAGTAACACGGCGGGTTTTTTCTGAAAACAAACCCCCATCGGACATCGTCTCAATTACCGCTCGAACATCCCTCTCCAAGGTGGATTCCAGAGAAAGAATTCTCTCCGAGTTCCACGAGCGGGTCGTCGTGGATCCGCTTGTATGACAAAACCCAATGACGACGACGACAACGACGAAGCTTGCGATATGTCGACGAAAGTCGAACGAAATGGGAGAAATTAATAGTAAAGCGATGGCTGTCGTCACTGTCATTAGTTCGATCATTCGAGTATTCAAGCTCATTTGACATCAAACAGTATAAATGAAGGAAAATTTTAAGATATTTAGTAATTAATATTATTTCTTTTTACCGGTTGTTTTAACAGTGTAAGAAAAATTTTCAATTTTCTTTCATCTACAATGTTTGACATCAAAGGAGCAAAGCTTAGGTACTCGAATGATCGAATTGATGACAGCCATCGCTCTACTATTAATTTTTCCCATTTCGTTCAACTTTCGTTGAGATATCGCAAGCTTTGTCGTCGTCGTTGTTGGGTTCCGTCATACACACGGATCCAGTAAAGAGACTTGCTAGCTTCAATTTAATTATATCTATATTTATTTGACCATCGCTATTTACGAGTCCCCTGCATGTAGCAGCTTCTGCGGAAAAACCTGAAAGATCCATCTGTGATTGATTTGAAAGGCGTTCCACCTCGAGCTGTTTACTCGGACGATCTAGATAGAGAGAAACATCGTTCAAGGATCTCCCAGCCTCTCAACCTCGTTCTTTTCAAGGATGGTTAGAGTAGATTCGTCTCTGTGTATTTACGTGCACGAGGATCGTGAAAGAGGAAAAGGGATAATAATTAATCGAATCACGTATCAGCGGATTGCGAGAAACGATTTTCGACCGTTGATGACATCCACTCGTTTTTACAAATTTCTCGAGATGGCAATTGTTACAGACTTTGTAATAAGAGTCAACGGGATGAGAAAGAATGGAAGTGACACGGTGGGTTTTTTCTGAAAACAAATCCCCATCGGACATCTGGCTAAAGTAGATCAGTCTCTTTATTAATCTTCCATTTATGATTCATTCGATACACACAAAGAAATTGCTGTACGCAAGTACTAATTACTTGTTTCAAGTAATTCAAAAGTTTCATAAATCTATCATAAGTTCATCATAATTAATTAATTCAAAATACATTCTGAATATATATAATTTAATATGTCAATCAAGATTATTAAATTAAAATTCGATTTGCTTATTGTACAAATTCTTCTTCAATCAATTTTACAATTTTCTTAAAAAAAATTTATTTTAAGTATACAATGAGTTTTTCTAGAATTTGTAATCGACAGATATATTTTTTATTGAAGATAATTGTTACTTAAAAAAAAAAAAAGAAAATAAATTGAATAATCACTTTTTTTTTAGCAATAGAATCTAGAATATTTTTCTGTGTACATTGCACTTGGAAAGCTTCGTACAGTTTTGAAAGAAACAGCAAAAAAAAATAAAATTAATAGATAGCTACGTAAGAAATCTATTAACTCTTTATACCTGCTATTTTTGATCCGCAAACTTTTATTATAGAATTTCCAGCTACCGCATTATCGTCGTATAATCTGCATTCTCGCTCAACGCGCGTTCTAGCGTGTCGCCATGAAGCGCGACTTTTGAGCCTTACCGGTCGAATAAAAATCGCTCCAAATGCCCGACGTACCATAAACCGTGGCGTTAAAAACATGTGCGACGTAACACGTGCGGCTGAATTTTTCCCCAGCGCGCGCGACAAGGAATATCCCATCCATCCTGCCGCTCGCGTCGCTTCGTTTGACAAAAATGCGAATTGCGTTCTCGCGCAAAACTCCGATTAACTCCGCGCGGAAACGTTCACCAATCGTACACCAAGCGCACCATTGCAATTTGCATTGTTTTCTTTGTACCCTTCGCGATAATAATGCTCGCGATTGCGCAAGATATTGTGCTGTTCTGGCGCTCGGAATTTCTGTGAAACAATCAAAAATCCGCAAAGCGACGACAGCTTTTCCTATATACCTATTGACTGTATAGTATTATTTACTAAAAGACTTAATATTTTCTAATAAACGTAATTTGCGTGCTTTAAAAAAAAGAGATTCGTTAGAATAAACAAATAATATTTAGCTGTAGCGCAAATTTCGTTATTTATTATACGAACAGTAAAAATATTTGTTAAACCAACTTCATTTGCTGAATAGCTTGTTAGACCCGTAAATCATTTTGCTCTAAATTTACTCCAATTTTTTCCATTTTTATACTTTAATCTTGCTTTTCCCCATGTCGATATTCTACCAGCGATAATTTTGTTGTATAGCATTTGTTACTGGCGGATAAATTTTGTTTTAGCAAATTAACACGTATATCTGCAAACAAATTCATTCGATTAATTTTTTCTACTTTTCCAGCAAAACAGATCTTATCGTATAACATCAATCGATTGGTCGTCACAGCAAGATTTAGTCTCATAGCTCTTTTATTACAGTATAGTATTATATACACTGAAGCAATGATTTTGTCGCGATAGCTGAAAAAAAGGCATAGCATTTTTAATTAGTTGCAGCAGCCAATTTTCGGTTACAGTAGCTAACTTTTAGTTATAGCAGCCATTGCTTGCGGATGGCTAACGTGACCAAAAATTGAACGCTGTAGCGAATTATTGTAAAAAATGCTATGCCATATTTTACCATCTAAATTACTGCATCAGTCAATCTTCTCTTTCAGTGTAAATTATTTTTTCCCATGTGGGATCTACGGAGTCCTCGTCCTCCAACATTACTCCAAGTTACAAATCACTTGGCTATTTATTACAAATCTGCCGCTATAATAATCGC